AGAGAAATACATCAAAATGCCAACAATTGGATCTACTTGACTGTAAATGAAAACAGAATGTGGGTTGCAATCAAAATACTGTGAGTGACAAGAACAAAGGTAAACAGCCAAGTCCTTTTTGGTTTTGTTTGGTTTTGTGTGGGGTTTTTTTGGGGGTGTTTTTTGGAGTTTTTTTTTTGCTGCCAGGGCTCCTTCCCAAGAGCTTTCCATGTAACTGGGCTCCAATGACTGGTTTCACAAAAGGAAAACCGAACAATTGTGAAGTAGTTACTGAGCCCTTGCCGCTTCTGAACCCACTGAATCAAACTGTTTCTGGAATCACTGAGGGATAAAGGACCAGATTTCTAGGTCTTCAATGGACAAGCCTTGTGTGGAGGGGTGAACTCTGAAAGGCATAGGATTCCCAACTGGATGCTATTAATTTCAGTCATCACTTTCCTTATGTTGTAGTGGGCAAGTATGTAACCTGAATTCTAAGTGCTTTCGTGAAGATCTAATTCTGTCTGCCCATGCTGTATTTTTTAGTCTGGACTGAAATGTATATTGTCTCTGCCAGCAAGGAGTAAGCATAGATTTGGTGAACTTTGGCTTGCTTCTAGCTCTACTTGATGCCTTGTTCATAGTTGTGAGATCTAGGCCAGTTTTACTTTCTTAAAACACAGGATATAGGGAAAGCACTGGCAACTCCATTTTGAGATGGATTCTAGAAATGGCTATGCAGTGTAGAGGCTGTTGTTGCTGTAGAGTTGAAGGAAGTACTGAAGTTTATTTTTTCAGGACAGACATTTAAAGAAATTGGAAAAGAATTTGCAGGGAACTTGATGGAACTACACTGGTGTATTACACATTTCTGATGTGAGATTTAATGCTCCTATTGCTGTCATGATCCTTCCTGGAAGCTTGCAAAACATGGAAGAATGCATAAGCCATCAAATGGATTTTTATGTGAGATGTCTTATGGTGAAGTTCCTTTTACAGCATACAGACTAGATCACTTTGTGTGGCACTTGGATTTGTCAAGCAAAACTTATACTGGAGCTTATTTCCTGGGGGAAATGTGGGGCTCTGGTAGTGTAATAGCCAGGGCTGTTATGTGTTTGCTGGATGATGATGAGGGGGGAATATTTTTAGGCTCCTTGCTAAAATGACAGATGTTTTAAATTAGCTTCTGGAACACTGCAAGAACTAATTCTTCTAAGGTCATCTTCCCTTTTAACAGGGGAAATCATATAAGCTGCAAGGAAAATTTCATTTCCAGCATTTGGCAAATTGTCAAACTGGTATTGTCAATATAGGCATTCAGAAGAATCTTTGTTTAAAAAAATATAGTGACCCTCAAATAATACATTTTGGACTCTCATCTTAAATATTTGTGTTTTATTTGATGTGATACATGCAGTTTGTACTTTGAAACTTGTAGAAGTAAAAAGAGCTAGATGTTACTGGGTGCTTGTGGTGGTTTTGTTTAAACAAGCTTGTAGAATGACAGAAGCTGAAGCTATTTGCCATTCTCACTGAACTATATGCAGCAGGCTAAAAAAAAGTGGGAAAGGGACCTTGTGGGGTGCTCTTGTCTTGTCTTTCCTGCAGTAGAACCAAACACAACAAAGCTGCAAAACTGGCTATAAAGAAAAAAAACTCAGCCTGATGAAAAAGTTTTCCTCCTTCTTTTCCATGGAGAAAATACTCTCCATCAGGAAGCTTAAAGCATACTGATCTACTAATCAGTGGTAAATAGGAGTGTATGAGACTTACAAGCAAAGTTAAGAGCCAACAGCGCAGGAAATCTCAATCTCTTCCTGCTGCTTATAGCTACATTTTTATAAGGCTTTTTAGTGGCCATATATGCCCTCTGACCTGTGTGTGTCCCATTTCCTTTAACTTCCTTGACTTGCCTGTCTCTTGTTCCCTGTTTTTTTGAGCAGGGAGCAAGTGGGAAAACAGCTCACTCTTTTTTTTCAACTGATTTTGTTTCTAATCTCCCCAAGAGTATGGAAATTAATATGGATGGGTGGAAGTTGTAACTATGACATTGTCTTGGTAAGGTTTGCTTGAGAGCTTCCCTTATTCTATAAGGTACAGTGTTGAATTATCCCTTTACTGTGTTAGCCAGGGCAGTTTCTTTGGAACCATGAGTCATTACCACTTCAGCATTATGTAAAAGCAAAAGCTTCTATATCATGGGGACTGTTGCTTCCCAGTTAGTTAAGGTAGGATTATTTTAGGAGGCAATAATATTTGAAACCCAAGTAGGAATGCTGTTGTTTTTTCTACATGTGTGCTGTTAGATAGAAATAAAATACGTTTCTCAGATGATAGTTTTGTATTAGTGTGAAGCTTGAGAAGCCTTCCATCTGAAATAAGGAATGTGTAGATACTGTATCTTCAAGGAGAAAACCCTTCATCTGCTTGGTACTGCAGTGTGGAGAAGGTGGAGTTGAGTGAATCTCTACCTTGTGTTACACTGTACTGTGTCCAAAAATTGCTTAGGCCATGTAAAATCTGAAGAAACAGGATCTTATGAAAACTAACACAACAACAACAACAAAAAAACCCCTAACCACAAAGCTAGAAAGGAAAACCCACTAAACTCTTTGAGGTTTAAATTTCTAGTTGTGACTGTAGCTTCATGTTTTGGGACTTTACCTGTTAAATGTCATGTGGAGTACATTTGTTCTTTATGTGCCATCTCTATACCTTGGCCACAAATGCAAGGAACGATTTCTGGAGAGGTTAAGTAAGAGCTATGTAAAGAGGAAGTGCTTTCCTTGGAGGAACAAGGTTTTATATCTAAACAGATGCAGGGAGTGCATGTTGAATTGGTGTGTAAAATAAGGTTGAAAGTCCTTTTTGCTGGAAAGGTAGTAGACCTTTTTAACTGAGGCATCATGGGAACTGCTGGAAATCTTGTCCTGTCTCTGTGCTATACAGTGCTTAGAATATGGATGGGTTTGGAAGAGAAATGTTGTTGGAGTTTAGGGCAGTTTTTTGAGGTTAAAACTCACCACAAAAAAAACCAAACCAAACCCAAACAAAATGGGAGTGGACTCGTATCCTATATGTTACTTTCATTTGAAGACCAAAGATCCTAGCTAGTTATAGCAAAGAATGTCTAAATACATGTATGTATAAATATAAAAAGTAGGTGTATGTATCTATCTATACTTAGCTGATAATGCTTCTTTGAATAGTAAACCTAGATCTGTCCTTTGGTAGAAGAGACTTATGCTTTCCAGACTGAATGACAAGATGCTTTTTATATGGCCTAATAAAACTAGGAGTAATTTTAAATACGTAAAGCATCAAGTGTAACTTGTGCAAAAGTTGTTTCTTGGTTGCTCCTGACTGATTAATGTAAAATAACAACAAAGATTGCTAGAATGGCCTTCAGTGTGAAGTGCCCCACCCCATTGCAAACTTTATTTTTTTGCATTCTTTAAAAATTAAATGTTTTCAAATGTATTTTTTCAATATAATGAACTATATGGAGATTGGTACAGCTGCAAGAAAAATCTTGAAGGCATGGTTCTTGAAAATAAAATATTTTCTTTCTCTTCATTTTCACCTGGTGACAGTCCTTTGTGTGAACAGTGTGTAATCCAAAGTTAATATGAATTACTCTGCTTTTTGTGTCATCTTGATCATGCATATATGCATACAAACTTGTGAGAAATACAAATAACATTTTTCATGAGTGCAATGGAAATAACTAGAACAAAGCAAGCATACTCTCTGGTGGGTCATGTAACCCTGTCTCGGGATTTGGGGCGTGAGATACATTTGGAATCGTGCTTCTGAGGCATTGCCATGAAGTTTGGGAGTCAAAGCAACACCACAGTGCTATGCATGAGGAGGGGGCAGGATCGTTGGTGAGCCTACAATAAACACAAGAGACAGAAACCTACCATAAAATTCAAGGCCTTTAACCTTCCTTTTTGGTCTTCCTTCTTTACTTCTAAGTAACTATGCGACTAATTGTGAGTGTAGTACTAATATCTATTAAAAAAAGATAGGCTAGGCTGAATCTGTGAAGCAAATAGAATACTAGGACCAATGTACTTCTGTAAAGTTCCTCTGAAAAGAACCAGACCAAGGAGACACAGTTTTTGGCAAGCAGCAAAAATTTGCAAGGAAATGGTGCTTCTGGAAGGCTGTGCAGAATTAGAATTGGCAAGCGCTGTGTGTACTGACACACTACATCTTCTGTCAAAAACCAGCAAATCTTTAAACACCAGCTGATCAGGGATTTTCAGGGCTATCTTGTCAGCTTGAGCAGGTCTGGCAGCTCTTAACACAAAATAGTGTCTGGGTTAAAGACCTTCTGCTTTGTGATGCCTTTGTGAATAGCTTATTCAGCTGGAAAATACAGCGAACAAAGGAGCTGGAAATATTTTGTCAAGTTGGTGATCTCACAGTTCAGAGAGTCAGCTACCAATTATAAAGACTTCTATTGTATAACACAAGAGCTAGTGTATAGAGAACTCCAGATCTTACTCTGTCTCTTTCTTTATTAACTTCTGCATGATTATTTTTGCCTAAAGGATGCTGTGAATGTGGATGTGGGGTGTATTCTCAGTAATTAACTACATTTTTCTAATAGACTAAGTTAAGTAGCAAAATGAGGGTAATTTTTTTAACTTTGAACTTGATTTCTGATATATGGGGACTAGGAGGGAGGGAAGTCTTCAGAGTTCAGTGATTAAGTTTTTGCAACTAAGTGCAGAAAAAAAAGATAGTATTATTTCTATGCAGAGTGGGAAGAGAGAAAAGTGTGTTTGTCTGTCCCCTTTCAATTCAGTAGAGATGTTGGTAGGAAACAATTTAGATTTCTAAAGCATTTTGAGACCAGATGGTCTTGAAAGCAGATACAGCAACAAGAACCTAGTGAAAGGAATTATCAGTAGTGCAAAGGGGGTTTTTTGTTGCTATTTTGCTATTGGCTTTTATCTGGCCTTTACACTGAAATTTTGATTCTGAAGTATGACTTCTTTCTCCTGCAGGTTGGAAAGGAGACTGTGCAGACAACAGAAGACCAGATCTTGAAAAGGGATATGCCACCAGCGTTTATCAAGTAAACTCATTTTATTGTAAATCTTGTGTTGTTGGTAGAGGAAACCTGTTCCAATGGTACATTACTGTTACTCGTTTCTGCTGTACAGATTGGAAAATATTCTTATATTTGAAAAGTTTGTTTGAAAAGTTCTTAGGTGTGTTGAGGCTTATCTTTGTCAGGAACAACCTTTTGGGCAGCAGTGACTTGTCCTGTTACATTCTGTACATATGGGTACATATATAGGGCATTTCTTCCTTTAAAAATAATAATAAAATAAATCAGATTACCTGCATGCTGCTGTAGGTTTACCTAACAGTGCCAGAGATAATGTGGTGTTATCAATCTCTTCTGTTCATTTGGTGGATGGAAAAGTGTGAATTTGTCAGTATAGGCAACTGTTGCATGTGATATAACTGCTTGGAAATATATTTGAAAAGCAGTGACTTACTGCAGACAGTCTAGTAGACAGTAACTCCACTTAGAGCAGACACTCTTAATTATATGATTTGCTATCAAGGACAACTGACTTTTTCCTTCTCTTGCCTTAAGTCTTAAAAATGATACCTCACACCTTGTTGTGGAATTCCTGAGCTGCTTATTGCCATCAGACAGACTTCTACTGAAGTGACTTTGCCCTACAATCTACTGAATATAGTAACCTCTATTACTGTTGTCCCGTGCATACAGAATGACTGACTATTTTAATGTGTTTCCAAACACCAAACAGGCAGATAGTCAAAACAAGAAAGCATTGAGGCAATTAAGGAAAATAATAAAATGGAGAAGAGAGATGATGTCTGAAGAGAAAATTTATGGTAGGCAGTCAAAAGGATTTAGAGTTTGTTGCATTGTAGGTTGACAAAATGAATAATTAAAATAATGTTTAGGTCCAGGTAGTATTAGCATATGAGTTCAAGAATGAAATAGCTAAATTATTAGTGTAGTAGTCTGTCACTTGATACCACCAGTGAGTCAATCAATGAGATGCTACTGCCTGAGAAACTTTCTAGGGAAATCTGGGGAACAGGAGGTCTATAGGTCTGACATACTTTTGGAGCAAAAGGCTAGAAATTCTGTATTAGAGAAGGGAATTAATCATGGCTAGGCTTCGCGAACGAAGATTTAGGAAGGCACTATCCACTAGAAGAGAATTAATAGATCCTAGATATATATGGTGTCCTGTGGGTGAATTGACAGTGTTTCTGTGGAGGGAAATTCTGCCTTATAAATCTGTTGGTATTAGAAATATCACAAACAGGAGAAAGGGTAATCCAGGTAATACAGTATACACTGATTTCTAAACTTTTTGGCAGACTCTACAGACTTTTAAGAAAATGAATTAGCCACAGGGTAACATGAAAAATTCTTGTATGGAAAAGACAAAATGGAAGGTGGAAGGAAAAAATTAGACTTTTAACCCTGCCAATGGCAGGAGGAAATCAGTACAGCTGCAGAGCTCTCTGTTGGGATTGTGCTTTTCACCACGTTCATAAAAGCTCTGGAGACCAGACTGAGCTGTGAGGCAAAAGTACTTGCCAATGACCTCGAGTCTTATATGGGGTAGTGAGATTAATGGATGACTGAGAAATTACAGCCTGACCTTATTAATTGAAGTGACTTGATATTAAGTGTGGATTAAATTATTTTGAAAGATCTAAAAATGATGTGCACACAGGAGAGCAGCAGTTCTACGGTCAGATAGGATGATCGACTGAACTGACCCTTACAAATTGTGAGCAAGGTTCTTGGAGCTGTGATACATTGGGGAGAGCATCTATTATATGCTCATAGTGGTCAAAAAGTAAATAAAATATTAGGTTTATCATCAAAGAATGAGAGACCAAAATGTCACTCTATCTATATTTTTCTCCCACACCTTAAATACTGCATGTACTGGTACTCCCACAGTCTTAGGCTATAGTAGAGAACAAAGGCATGGAATTACTTCTGTATAAGGCAAAGCTAAGTAGGCTGGAACTCTTCAGCCTGGGAAAAGTGACAGAGGGGATTGAGGCCCTGACAAAGGTCTAAGGAAATATGAGTTGCATGGAGAAGTTGGAAGCTTGTACTTTTCTTTTGCAAGAACTTGATGGGGGAATTGCTTTAAACTAGTAATTTATAAACCAACAGTAGGGAGAGATGCTTTGTACAGCTAATTGTGTACTGTTAAAACTCTTTATATGGGTTTGGAGGTTAATAGCTAAGTACTTAGAAGAATCCATTGTGGGTTATCAAATAGACAAACTGCAGGAAGTCCCAAGAACTGAAAATAGTTGGAGCATGGGAGAGTGCCTGGAGGAAGTTCGATAAATGCTCATCCTGTTCCTAACCTTCCTTAGGCATTTACTCGCAGCTACTTCTGGAGACAGGCTACTGAGCTAAATGGGCCTTTGATACAATCCACTGCAGTATTTATCATGCTGTGTTCCTGCTGTGTGATCTTGTCCGGTTGTAGAGGGGCTTGATTTTTATTTTTATTTTTTTTTTTTGAGGGGAGTGTTTACTTGCTTCTTGATGAATTAAAACCAAGCAATTTTGATCGTGCTCATTTTGTAGATGTGTAGAGTTTTTAGGTAATTTCCAGCTTCTTTTTCACCTAGACAAGTAAGGGATTAAGGAAAAGAGATTTTCTTAATTTCAGTGTTTGATCAACACTTAGCAGACTGTGAAGACTTCAATAATTAAATTGCTGTAAAAATGTGATACAAGCACTGCTGAACAGTACTACTTTATGCTAGGTCCAAGAACTCTTTCTGCAACAATTCGTGACTGTTTGAACTGTGATATAATGAAAAATAGGAAACAAAGCTATGTGTCATAGTGATGAAACATAGTTCACCTAGTACCTACTATCCTAGGTGCAGTAACATGGGTTAGGAATGTTTGGTGGCCTCTATGAATGATAACCTATTTAATTTGTTTTTTTTTTTTTAAATCTGGAATTTATATTAAAATGAACTAGTACTTGTTAATAGTTTCTTGTTAATGCTGTGGAGCGTATTGTCACTGATATCTTGGTTGTGGAGACAAGTGACAGGAACAGGTGAGCTGCCAAGGGAGTCTTACCTTTTCCTGCATTAAAGGACAGAATTTGGATGCAGAAAGTGAAACAGAGAAGGGTCATCTTTTGTTTTTGTTTTCCTGAGAAGGAGGCTTTTTTGTTTCTGAAGCATTGTTTCAGGAATTGGCATTCCTCTTCAAGGGAGTGCTCCAGCAGAATTTGTACACAGTACACATGTGCTAGCACTGCATTCCCTGTCCATATTTCCTCCATTCAAAAGGATCACCAGTCTTGAGGGAACCAGTCTTGGAGGATGAAGGACATCTCTTATTCTTTTGAAAGACTTGAGACTGGCATTGAGGATTCATAATGAATATCTATGATGCTAATCTGTAAAGCTTTTCAGTAGGAGTATGATGGTGCAGCAAAATAACTTGCTGGCTGCTCAGAAGCTATTTTGCATCCTTTTGTTTGTTACTGACATAAACCACATGGAAACTGTTGACTTAGAGTTAAAAAATGCTGTCTTCTTTATCTTAATTGTCTTAATCACCAGGGAGTATGAATAATGATTATAATTTACATCAGATGTTTTGCAGTGTGTTCATATTACTTGTTAAACTTCTCTTGTTAAGAACTAAAGAACTACAATCTCTAGGCAAAGAATAGGGTAACACCTATTTGTTTACACTGAGATAAAAAATTTGTGTTTCACTTGCAGGCACAAACTCATTTAACAAATCAAGCAGCAATACTATTCTATACTAACATTATTTTGGTAACCAAATTGGAGCTGCATTGCTGGTAACTATATTAACATATTAATATTAATATAAAATATTTGCTTTATATTTCTCGAACTGCAAGTAATCTAAATTATAGTGAGTAAACTGAAAAATGACCTCTGGGAAAAGCAGAGGTCAATCCTAAAATCTAAAAACTAAAATGGTAGTTTAGCATAAGCTACAGTTATTTTCCTCAAATTTCATAAGGAATACACTTAACAGGGATGAAGCTGATTAACTCCCAAAAGTAGTGTGGTTAGAAATATCATGACCGGTGTCTTCCCCACAAAGAATTTGGCTGGTGTTAACATAACTTTATTGTAATTATAATAAATTACAAAAAATAAATATACTTTTCATATGAAGCTTTGGGGTTTTTTTTAATGTTGCAGTATAATACAGAGATTAGAAATTTCACCATAGCAATGAACTACTATTCCAAACTTCTGAATGAGTTTGATTCTTGTGATAGAACAAGGAGTTCATTGCAGTGAACATTTTTAGTAGTTTTTGGTTGTTTGTGTTATTGCTTTGTTTGGTTTGGGTTTTTTTTAATGAAAGTAATTAAATACTTTTTTCCCCGAATTCTAATCTTTTGCTTCCTAGTATGTGTGCTTTGCAAGAGGAGAATGTCTAATTTTTTTTAACACCATTCTGCTTATTTTGTACATAGTTTACAATCCTGGAGTATTTAAAGTGCTTTGGGAAGTTTACACAAAATGGGCATTATATTAGTAAAATGAAAGGTTAACTTTAAGAGGTTCAACCCTAAAAGCTGTAAACGAAAACTTTGAATCTTTAGAAATTTTCATTAATTATGGTGACTTCTGGTATAATATACGTTTATTTTAATTCTTTTCTTTACAAACAAAAAAGCCAACCTGGAGATAATTATTAGTATTAAACAGATGACCATGAAATTAAACTGTAGGAAATTAAGTATTTCTGAGCCTAGAGCTCTGAGCTAGCTGAATAGGTGATTTGTTTAATCCCTTTCTTGGCAGAGTTGAAAAGAATAAACGTGAGAAGCAAGCGTGGAAACCTAATTTAGTGAAGTCAGTTGACTTTGATAATACAACCAAGTGCCTTGCATAGTAATGAGCAGACCATTCCCACTTCCTGCCTTCAAATCCTTCTGCATTTTCTTACTCAGTTATGAGTTCCTGCTATCTGATACACCGAGCAGATGTCTCACAAAAAGAGCAGGTTATGGTAATGCAGCTGGCCCAATTTGATCTACTCTAGGGAGCCATTAGCTGAAAACTTTATTTTCTGGAAAAAAGTGTGTTTTCCTGTAGTAAGTGTCTTATTTCTACCGGTTAAATTTACATGTAACCATTAAGTTCTAATGTTTGTGTTAGCAAAGAACAGAGAGGAAAAAATGGGATAACTGTAACTTTCTACAAGTACTTCACTGGAAGTATGATAGAAGAGTGCATCAAAGTGGTCAGTAGAAACTGGGCTACATGACATGCAGGAAAAAGTGGTGGTAAGAGGTAGCATCGCTGTAATAAAAGGGTTTAATGTTTGTTGGAACTTCATGCAACTCGAATGCGCACATGGCACTCACATGCACAGACCCAATGCATTACACCCCACCCAAAGGAAATTGGAGAGAAAGGAGGAAAGTCACAACCAGTGTAGTCAATAACTCCATGAGTAGCATAGCTAACAGGAAAGTGAAGTCTGCATTTTGTATTTCCCTAAGGTGTCACAGAGAACAAAACCAAAACCTTTTTAGTCTTCCAATTTTTGATATTTTACAGTTGTTTTGTTAAATGGCTTGATGGAATCAAATTTCAGAGCTAATTTTCTTATTGATGTACCTTCTGTGTTGCTGTAGTTACATACATAATATCTTGCCAAATCTCCTTTTTGTTCTTAAGTCTGGAATTGCAAGCTGCATTTGAAGATTGTACCTTACCACTAAATTTTGTGGTTATTTAAAATTTTATTTCTGTTGTGAATGTGAACATTCTAAAGAGCTGGACAGCTTCAAGGCACAGGGAACAGTGTCTTGGTTTTCTTAATACTGTGTTATTTTTTCTTAATATGTAGTTATCATTTAATATTTATTAACAGCAATTGCTACTTGAATGACAGTGCATATACAAGGCTGATGAAAGTTAGGAAGTAATTCGATTGTCATGTCCTAAAAAAATAAGTGTTTTATTCCCTGCCCTTGTCCTGAAGAATGTAGGGTATTTTGCTGGGTTGGGAACTCTCCTTAATGCCACTGTAGTGACTGTTGTACAAGGGGTGCTTCAAACATTCCCTACATGGGAAAGATTGCATGACTTCTAAAAAACTGCATGGTGTGGTTGCTGGTTACTTTCTTGTTAAAGTGAATATAATAAATACTGTTGCTTTTTAAACTATAGAGGTGTAGAATGATCAGTTTGCTTGCAGTGCTTCAAGTAGTGAAGTTAAAAATTAAATCCAACATTTTCTCAAGTCTGTCATATAGGCAGAAACTAATCAGCAGGTTTTGTGTGATGACTTCCACAGGGTGGAGAATGCCTGCACTAAACTTGTTCGGGCAGCCCAGATGTTGCAAGCAGATCCTTATTCAGTACCAGCTCGTGACTATCTAATTGATGGCTCAAGAGGCATCCTTTCTGGAACATCAGACTTGCTTCTGACATTCGATGAAGCGGAGGTAGGAATCCCAACATGACTGACATAGGTATCTGCACAACAGTATTATTAATTAAAATATCCCCCTTTCTGAATTAACTGACCTAACTACTGAGTAGATTAATGTGGTATCGATAATTTTAACTTGATTTGAAGCATATTTTTTTATTCCTTTCTTTAGAAAGATCTTAGACTTGTTGCTCGGTTTTGTTCAGAGCATCTTTACGTGACATAATTAACGTGTTGCCTGTGATTATTGCTGAAAAAGGCCTGATCCCATCTACTGTCTTCCTGACAATTTTCTGTATTCCCTTCACCATACCTATTACTGATTCTTATACTTTCTGTATCCCTTCACTAAAAAGCTCTAGGCCACTTCTTAACCTGTTTGTCTGACTCAGTAACTGTGGCAATTTAGTTGGCCTTGGAGAGCAGAAGGCAATACAAATTTGGACTGTCTGGCTGGGCAGGCAGAAGGTATATTCTGATAAATCTTAGAGTTGCTATGTTTTGTCTGCTGCACAAGTCAAGGAGTGGCTCAGAATTGCAGTTTGTCCATTGTCATATGCACAAAAAAAGCCATAGTTGCAAGGAATCTTAAAAAGGAGTCTTATGTTTGAAGATGTTTTTGGGTATAAATCTTAGTTTTGGCCCTCCTTCTGGGCACATGGAGTCTTGCTCATTTCTAAATAAGAAATAGTATGCTACAATGAAGAAACGAAGCTCATGCTGTTAGAAATGCTGATGTTAATCCTAATTTTGCATCAATCTGTTAATCTATGGAATTGTGTTACTCTTCCATCTGTTCTGAGTAGTCTAACATCCCATCCTTGTCTCATTTAATCAGCTAGTGCTACTGTTAGCATGCTTCTCTGAAATGAGGAGAATGCTGTGGGATTTCTCTGTGGCAGTTGTGATTCTCATTATTTTAAGTGATTTTTTAATAGACGTTTTAGAGGACAGAATTTCAAGGAAGTCTTATAATCTCCCTGCTTCCAGTGTTTAGGAAATGACTGGAGCTCTCTGAAGTTAATGCTTCATTGTATTAGTCTGACAACTGCATGTTAACCAAAGGAAGACATTAGTCTGGAATGATTGACTTGTCACAAATACAGAAGTTGGCATGTCTCTGTCCTACTGTCTTTCAATATGAACTCATGTTGGGACAAACTGAAATGAGTTTCAGAGGAAATTTTGATCTATTCTAGGGACTGAACACTGCATGTGGTTGATATGAATCAAATGTCAATTAACTCATTGTTCAATAAGAATTGTATATGGTGGTGTCAGAAATAATGTGGTTTGGGAGGTTAGAAGATTAACTGACAGAGAACTGTTTTGGAATCAAGCAGGAACTGAAAAAGTTAAGCTGAAGTGGAGGTCCAGAAGTAAAGTACAGCCTTCATAGATTTTTCTGGAAAGCTTAAGATTTTGGATCTATCTTTCCTACTGGAATGCTGGATAATGTTTTATCCATCTGTAAAACTGTGTGGTGAATATTTCCTCTGAAAGCTTGAAGTCTGCTTTCTGCGTAGTTTTGCTTTGTGGTTTAAGTTAAATATTTTTATTGATGAAATTGCAATGAAAAACTTCAAGCATGCCAGTGTACCTAAATGCAGTTCTTTATAACCTATTTTCTCAATGCTATCCTCATTTATCGTACAAAGTGAAAACACTGGAAGCAGGATTTTGCATTTCTGAGTAGTGGAAAGCTGATTAAATATTGGCTTGTCATTACAGCACTCAAGGAATGATATTTTGGGTAACTTATTCAGTATCTCAGACCTTTGTGATTCCACATTCATCAGGTTAGCAAATGCTATACCTATTCTGTCTAATAACGGGCTTGCATTTCTAATTCAAATGTGACTTAGCTTCACCTAACAAATAATGGAATGTTCCTCTTCTAGGTCCGTAAAATCATCCGTGTCTGCAAAGGAATATTGGAATATCTGACTGTGGCAGAAGTGGTAGAGACAATGGAGGATTTGGTGACATACACGAAGAATCTGGGGCCAGGTTTGATTTGCTGCAGCCTTTCACAAATATACTAAATATAGTCCTTTCCACTACTTTGTTTTCCCCACAGTACCTTCCTCTCCTGAGTTTCGAGCGTTTGGGCAATGATAGAGCAGTTGCTTTGAAAGTGTCTGTTGGAAAGAGTTTTAAACTAGAGGGTGAATGATGACTATTTACTGATTCACATTCTCCTTTAAGAATGCAGAAGAATAAAGATGTTGATAAATTTTGTATGGTACATGGATGATATGTACTATATTTTTTCTACACTGTGAGGGAAGCAAGCATGCATTAGTAAGGGTAAAACAAAAAAGAAAGGAAAAAGCTCTGTAAGTAAGCACACTCACAGATACAAAAAGCCATTAAACTGATAAAATGTCTGTACTAGCTGAGATAGTTGGGCCTAGTAAAAATTTCTTGGAGTAATATAAAAGTACATGCCATATATTAGCATCTTTATGAGGTTGCAGAAATAGCTGTCTTGCAGTATAATACAAAAGCCCAGCTGTTACAGAAATTCTTTGTTATTTGATGCTCCTTCACTACTTGTTACTTCAATGTGTTAACTCACACTGTCACCAGTGTAAGTGATTAGTAAGTAGCTTCTGGCATCCTATAGAAACTGTGTTTTTGCCTGAGCTAAATGCTGCTCAACACTTGCAGCCCATGCCTACAAAACTTATGCCTGTAGTCATTGTTCCCTTTAGATATAATAATGGGCATCTGAACTTAACTATTAATGTGAGTACTGTATAAATAACAGGAGTATGTGCAGGTACGGTTAAAATCAAAGAAGTGCTTATAGGTTTTATGTTGAAAGTAGAGAGAACATGATTAGCTATTTAGGCTTTTGTCATTTGAAAGGAAAAGTGGTTCTGCACAGCTCACCTCTCTGTGCTGTCAGTGTGAGGATTCTACTACTTTTCAGTGATGTCATGAAAGCAGTGTTATATTAAGATGCTAACCAACAGAAAGGTAACTGAGCCAAAGAATGTACAGCTTCCTTCCAGTTTTGTCCCCTGTAGGAGAGAGAGTAGGACTACAACAGCACCAATTTAAATAATCTTAAATTTTTATGAAGTATTGTCTGAAGTTTCCATGTGTTCTGTGTAGTGAACCTCACAAGTCTTAGATATTGCAAATAGATCTGCTCTAAAATAAATTTAGTTCTTTTCCTACTTCTAGGGCACTGAAATATTTCTAGCAGATCTGAAGTATAAATAAATACAGTTCTTGACCTCTGGTAGAACCTCAAGGAAAACAAACAAAACCCTGATGTTTCCTTTCTCTGTCACTTAAGGCATGCATCACATCTTAACAGAACAGGAGAAAAAAACCACCCCATAAATTAACTTCCAGAATTCATGAAGTGACTTTGTGTCCTAAAACAGTAATTTCAAGTATTTTCCAATTTTATTGGTGGGATTTTAAATCAAGAATTTAGAGGAATCCATTCTACTTTACATAGTGGCTAGATTTTGAATCAGTGACTTCTCTGAAGTGTCTGGAATGTGCTTTAAGTAACAGCTGCTAATATAAAAATTGTTTTAAACTTCAGTACAGTTTTCATGTGCCTTGTTCATGTTTTGAAAACTCAACTGTTGCGATGTTCAATTGCTTTAATCTTTAGGGATGACAAAGATGGCCAAAATGATTGATGAGAGACAACAGGAATTAACTCATCAGGAACACAGGGTTATGCTGGTAAACTCCATGAATACTGTGAAGGAGCTATTGCCAGTACTTATTTCAGGTATTTTTTGCTTTGTTTTCTAATGCCACTCTGAATTACTGTTTTGAACTGGAGTTCCAATGTCTTATATTTATTAAAAATAACCTTGACATTGCTTCTGCATTCATTGCAAATAACTGTGCTATTTGTATTAAAGCTACAATCTCTTTGAGATAAAAGGGTCCATGCAAAAGAAAATGTATTATATAAGTACTATGGGTCACCTTGAGCACTGATTGGATCTTGCATGTACCTTTTTCTAATCTGTGGTATTTTCACAGCTATGAAGATTTTTGTAACCACAAAAAATTCTAAAAGCCAGGGAATAGAAGAGGCCTTGAAAAATCGCAATTTCACAGTAGAGAAAATGAGTGCTGAGATAAATGAAATAATCCGTGTATTGCAACTCACTTCCTGGGATGAAGATGCCTGGGCGAGCAAGGTACTTTTCATACCTACATTTATATGTATGTTTAATTTTTATCTATTTGCCCTTATAAACTTATGCTTTTGACACTGTTGAAGTATGTTATTTGTGTATCAGTTTTGTAACACTGTGTAATCACATCATATAACCTCTTCAAGGTTGAAGAATATCTTCAGAGATGAATATATTCATGTGTCTTTCAAAATTAGCTTTCTCTCAATAAGCAAAGTTAAAGTAGTGTGGCATTTGAAGGTGGCTCAATAGTTTACAGCAACTCAGTGGTCCAGCAGAAGACAGATTTGTTCAGTTTAGTTTTGGCAACATAGGAAATCCAGAATATAGTGTATTCCTCTCAGACAAGGATTTTTTCCTATAATAGCAATTTTGTAGCTAGGTATTCATAAGTGAGGATGAGATTTGTGTTCTAGATGCTGCTAGAAAATATAGGAAGCTGTCATATTCTTTGTACAAAAGTCCTGGAGTTGAGAAATTTTAGTATATTTTTGGGAGATTCCTCCTTGAACACCTTCCCCTTTTTTCCCTGCCCTAGTTTTATTCTGGACAGAAGAGTAAATTTTGAGTGTTTGCCTTGTCTCAAAGAAATATGTTAGACTGAACAGCCTTTCTGCATAAGTAGGATATGTGTGAAGCTGGCATGTGACAGGATTGGTTCTTTACAAATCAGTGTTAAACTGTGTAAATGACTACAGCCACTTACCTGGAGTTAAACGCTGCTCTTAAGTGATACTGAAAATATTGAAATGTCTAGAAGACTGTAAAGCAGGTCTGACAGACAAAATCCTAAAAGTGCTATGGGCTTACAAATAAATGTAGCTGTGTAACTGAAATTCCTGCCAATTTTTTTTTTTGAGCACTTGAAAGTAAATTGCTAAAGGGACTTTTTTTAAGGGTTAGTGCTATGAGCAAAAAGTTAGTGTAAGTATCATTAAAGAATATATTGAGGCCTGAAGCCAGACTGGTTAGCAAATGCAATGTTGCAGGAAATCTAACATTGATGTAACCTCGACATAAAATCACTTTGGCCTATGTTGTTTGGCACTTGACCTTTAGTTTGCCTCTTGAGTTATTTCGTCACTATCACTTCCTTATTATGACTACTGTATGCATCTTTGTTTTTGTTGTCCTGTTTCTTACCCTTTTCTCACCTTTAGAAGGTAAGCTTTCTCCCACACCCTCCACCTTTACCTTGTACTAAAATCAAAGAAAGCATGTATGTGGGATTTTTGTGCTGTGTGCTGTGCAACTTCTTGTGTGCCAGCTGTGACACCGTACTTATGTTTGTACACACAAAGTTTTAAATGGATCTTAATAGCTCTGTCTAGCTGGCTGTGGAATTGGCTGTCACTAAGAGAATGGTAATTGCAAGCTGAACTGCATTAAGACTGTCTTTCTGAGTCTGATTAGAGTTAGGCCAAGATTTTACAGCACATTCTTACTGAATGCTTATGTGTTAATTTATGTTACTCGTCTTTGTAGCAGCAAATAAAGGATCCAGTCATGCAGGAACGAGCTTTCTGCATGGCCAGAAAGCTTTATTAAACCAGGAATTTTGTCTATTCCATAGTGTTTTACTAGCAACCTTCCTTCAGTTCAGGTGGTTCATGTTCTTTAGATCTAGGCCTAAAACTGCAGTTTTGTATGTGCACTTTTTCAATTCAGTTTTATTTTTTGATTTAAGTTTTGCTGTACTTTAAGAAATGCAAATACAGTTTTATTTCACACAACATTTGGAAGTTTTTGTGGTAAAGAAAAATGTCTCTTGCAAAAAGTTGGCAATTTAGCCTTAGGAAATTCTTACTCTTCTTGCTAGTGAGGAAGATCAAGAAAGGATTTCATTAAGAAAACATTTGACATATTAGCAATATTTCCTAATGGAAAATATTGGTCATTATGCTTAATGTGTAAGTATGTTATGTGGACTAGTATCATTATGTTCTGAATTGAGAACTTTTTAATTGTGTTTAGTTTTTGAATTAAGGTACACTGATGGTTTGGAACTGTAACACTGGGGATTAACCAAAGAGTCAGGACAAAGCATTTGAATTGAAAGATGCAGTGGGATGAAGAGGCAGGAACTAGTTTGCTACTGGCCACCTGTTACAGACCTTATCCTGTATTTGCATATATATCTAACAGTTGACTTATTATTTTTCTGGAAGGGAGATGAAGGAGCTATTTAATTGTAGTTGAGGTTACTGTTGCATGCATTTTGCAGCTGCTGGTCATGGGAAAGATACTTTCCCCATGTTTTTCTGGAGCAAAGTAAGGTGTTTGCAGATGCACAGCCTTGAATTTTTGGCTGTGTAATAAAGCTGTTGTTGATGTTGGAGTTTATTTTATGGTTATTATTCTATCTTGAATTGTTTATACATTGAAGTATCACAGTCTGTCTAGAGACGGTGGATGATGAACAAGGTATGGAGCCAGAGCTGTAGGGGTTTTTGTGAACTATTTTATTGGTCTTCTAGACTCCAGAATGTACGTTACTGTTACTGGATTCCAATGAGCTCTACTTGCACCAACACTGCATTTCTAAAATAGTGTGCTGCTTTAGAATTGAAATACTATTCTCTAACAAAATCTTGGGGGGGGAAAAAAAAAATCTGTATTTCTTTCTTTCATTCAAAGCTTTGCACCTTTTTTCATTGAATTTTTGATTTTACAGAGGAATTGAGTTTTCTCTTGTATATTCTTAGTGTTTATTTTAAAATAAATTTTGAAGTAATACTCAATACAAACATCTATTTCCATAGAAATGGACGGAGTTAAAAGTTGTAAGAAGCTGAGGAGTATCTGGTATCTTGCAGGATTGAACCCTGAATGGTGACTAAGCTATTTGTCCTGCCAGGACAGGAGGCTGGCTTTGCCTATTTCCTTCAACATTGCCTTCTTTGGTAATGAAATGCAGATATCCCTAGACTAGACCACTTTACTGAGTCAGAGGTTGTGCTTTACATTTAGTTGGATTTATTTTGCTCTTTTTCAAAGCAGAGCCAATACCACCTGCTCCATGAATAAGTTCAACATTCTTGGTAGTGGCAGAAGTGATGCATAAAAGTATCTTGAATAAGGGCTTATTTGCTTTTGCAACTACTTTGAAAAAAAGCCAACTTGCTCTTTACCCTTCAGACAATGTTGCCCTAGTTGTTTAAGTTGATTAAGTTTTTTATCTCCCTGAAAAAGTAATAGTGCTGCTTTTGTTAATGAAATTCCTTTTGCCAACAGGGGAACTGCAGGGAGATGAGAAAATGAATCAATTTTTGCTGATAAAACAACTTTTTTGCAGCCTAGCCATTGGATGGTTTTTTCCTTGTTTGCAACTGATATTCTGCTGGTAAATCCCAAAAGAGTTAAATTTTAAACAAGATTTGCTTTTTTAGGGAGGAACAAGGTATTTAAACAGGTAGAGAAATCAGGACGATCCAAGGTACTTTTAAGCAGTAAGACCTTGAGCAAGTTGCTGTGGTTTGTTTAAACTGAGTATTTCTGCTTTTGTCTTCCTGCTTAATAGCCTGAATTAGTGGACAAGTCCAGACCTTTTCCTTTGCCAAGTATCTGACACCAGACACAGCTCTTGCAGAAACAGCAGTGCAGTATCAACAAACCTAGTTAACAATGCATTCTAATTTTCTATTTGTATTACTCATCTTATTGCAACAAAAACTCCTCATGAAGCTGAAGTTGAGAGAGATTCCTTGAGCTGTGAAGATGGGAAATTAGTGCTTTAAGATGAATTGTCTTGGAGCACTTCAACTGCTACACTAGGATTTCACCAGGTTTTTTTAAATAGGGAAAGGGGACAGTGTTTTACAAATGTGAGTACAGAGGCACACAGGATAGCAGGACTTAGACTGAAAAGCAATCCAGTTATATAGCCTTCATATGACATGGCAGATGCATCCTGTTATTCTTGGGTAGTTCTAGCAATTATCTCAAATCATGAGGGTAAAATCAAAAATAATCATGATTTTTTCCTCAGAAAGAAGACTTTAGTCAGAGGCATCTGTATAATTTTGCTGAAACTGCAACTCTGCAGGCAGCTGAGACAACACAAAAGCCTGTGTGAGTGAAAAGGGAGGGGCAAAGACAGTTTTCCCAACACTCCTTTTCTCAGCCCACACCTATCATCTCATCAACACAATAAGCAACATCTGTTGCCTTTTTAAAAATTCAGTGGGTTCTTTGTTTCAGATTGTTTCTGGGTAGATGGGCCTGCAGTAGACCATTCATTTTAAAGTCAAGTGGCTTCAGCCCATATATAAAACATAGAAAACTTTAACACCTACTTTAATAGGTAGGAAGGTTTCTATATACATGTGAAAACTTTAATGAATATTTACTTGTCTCTTATCATACAGTAAATGCACAATTCTCAAACTATAGAGAAGACAGCTTTTAAAAGAATGTGCCTGCCTCCCACTCCTTAGCTACCTATCCTACCTTTTTGAAGTTTTTTCAAAGAGGTCCCAACTAAGATTTGAGATGCAGTTTCTAGATTTGAGAACCAATCATCCATCTGAAAATAATTCTGCTTTTGGTGCTCTCTCTCAGGCTGTGATTTAAGAGCCTTTAAAAATACTCAGCAGTGTCACAGGACACTTTAGAAAGTTGGTTGCTTACTTATATTATAGCACCTTATAAATAGCTGACAGACCAACATGCCTGAATAAAAATGCCAAAATGTTTACAGTATTGTGTCTTTGAGACTAAGCATACAGAATGAACAATTCCACAAAAATGTGGCATTTTTTTAGTGTTGTCAGGATACCACATGCTATACCAGATACTGATCATTGATGCTTGTTGGCTCTTCTTCATACGAATGGGACACGGGCAGTCAAATTCAGATAACAAGGCAAGAGCCAGACTTCTTTTTATCATCTGTATACTAATCATGGGATGTTAGATGCATTTCAAATTATTTCAATTACATGTGTGGTAAAAAGCTATTTTGGCTTTTTTCCAACTTTTTACTTAAGGTACTTGTTTCTGTTTTCACTGTCCTTCCATTTGTGTGAGATGGAAGACTTGTGGCCTCTAGTGGAGAGATAGCACACGAGTAATAAACAGAGTATGTGGAGAAATCAGAACTGGGTGGTTTTATCTCCTGGAGTCAGGTGTTGGATAATAGTGGCAGAGTAGTGAAAGAAGCAGCAGCTTTGATGCTTCTCTCAGAAAGTTCAGAGTTTAAAACAACCACATGTAAATACATGTGTTTCTCTCTGAAGGCATTAAACTCCATATCTGAGAATTTCAGGAATTAGCTGGTAAGCTATTATTTTGCAAACAGCAATTGTTTGACTTAAAGCAACAGAGCAGGTGAAAAATGCAAATGTGCAGCCTCTTACACTGAAGTAAGTAGTAAAATTCACTGCCCAATTTTCATTTCTGAAAGGTTTACTCTAATTACATAACTTTTCTATGTGCCCTGATGTACAGTAAGGAAAAAAGGGAACTAACTCCAAGATGTGTGCTTATTAGAGCTCCAGTTTTAGAAATTAAAACACTAATAAATGAAGGAATAGAAAAGTCACTAAAATTGCATGCTTATTTTCTGCATTTTGAGTGAAATGAAAATGTCTGTCCTAATGGGAAAGAAGTGATTATGACCTGCTAGTTTGAAAGTGGTTTTTGAGCTGCTTATACGAATGTGTTTCTGTAAGTAGACTCTGCTTTATAGAACCTTTGTCTGCTTTGGTTGTGTTGATTATTTGTGCATTTGGGGGTTTTTTGAGCTTCATTTTGGTGGTTTCTTTTTTGTAAAGGACACCGAAGCCATGAAAAGAGCGTTAGCCTTGATAGATTCAAAGATGAATCAGGCAAAAGGTTGGCTGAGAGATCCAAATGCACCTCCAGGTAATATTTAAAAAAAAATAACATCATAAAGTATTTTCATTTTTAAAGATCTTAATATTTCTGTTGTTTAAGGCAAAATTGTCTTTAAGCACTGTTAACCTATACATAGTGGATCATTCTGAAGGAGCCTATATTAATTCCTTTATTGAACAGTACTTAATTGCAGTCTTCGGTAATGTTTAAAATCCCTCCTTTTTATTTTCAAATTTGTCTAACTTGAGATTTGTCTAACAGAATCTCTTTACATGTTTTTCTTTCAGTCTTGACGTAAAATTTTTAACATGAAAATCTGCCATAAATACTCCAATTGCAATTATCTTTACTTATATAAGTGGTTTGCCTTTATGTATCTTTAAAGTAAAAAAAGCTAGATAGAGGCCTTTCCATTTGGACTTTGAAAGACCTTATAAGAATGACTTCCTCTGAAATCAAAGCCAAAATAATAGAGTTGTAAAAGTTGGATGTGAATTGTTGGGTTTTGGTGTCTGTCTCATGGCTTTTCAATGAATGTGTTTTCCCAGCTGAACCCAATGCAGTTAAATGTGTTGTGACATGATGACTTCAGTAGTTTACTCGTGCACTTCAAGGAATGGCTTGTTTGTTGTGCTGACTGACTCTGTGTCTTAGGGGATGCTGGGGAGCAAGCAATAAGGCAGATCCTTGATGAAGCTGGAAAAGCAGGAGAACTGTGTGCAGGCAAAGAACGCAGAGAGATTCTGGGAACATGCAAAACTCTGGGACAGATGACTGACCAGCTGGCTGACCTCCGAGCTAGGTGAATCTAGTACTTGGAATGGACAGTTTTCCAGTGCTATTAAAATGTTTTTTCTGAACTTGCAGTTGTGTCACTTCCTAATCTGTATTTTGCCTTTTTTTTTACTGTGGTCTTTTCTGAATAGTATGTTTTAGTAAGGGAAATGTTCATTATATAACATGATGATCAGAATTGCTCAGGTAGATAATTCAGAGTTTGCTTAATGTCAAACCCGTAACCTTCCTCCAAATTAGGCAGAAATGAAGTTTTAAACTCTACTGTGAAGTCTGTCCTCCAAAGAGGATATACCCCAATTACTGTAAGATACTTGAATATTCTAGTCTTTAGGTGTTTCCTTTGAGTATAAGGAATTTTTCAGCTGCTTATCAATGTATTAAATTGTTAAGCTAGAGTGCTTTAAAATTGATTTCTTTATTTTGTTGTAACACTGCTCCCCACCCTGCAAAAATACCACACCCAGAAACCCCAGAAAGCTATTCATTGTGATCCATTAAGGATACAGGTGATAGTAAATGGGTATAATATTTCTCATTAATGTTAATGAATCTTTTGAACTGTTTGAAAAAGCAACAGAAGTCAGGAGTGTTTTATTTAAAATAAAATTTAAAAAATAATTAAAAAAAAGGTTTAAGGCCCCAGTGAAGTGCAGGAAGTGAGCAAGTGCAAATTATTTGGAGAGCTGTGTTTTGAGTCACTTCAAGAACAAGAATTCCCTGCTATCACTTTAAATCCATAGACTACTCAGCTCTGAAGTGTTGCAATGATACGTACACAAGCTTGAAATAGTTTCCAGGAAGAGTTGTTAGTTTGCTATATAAAGGCTAAAAAGGCCAAAATTCAGAAATACAGGTTAGATTGTCATTGAAGTGATGTATATTAGCTGTAGTAGTGGTAGTGGATAAGAAACTGGTTTTAGTTTATCTTCTCTTGGATTCTCAGTTGATTGCCCTGATAGAATTTAAGATCTCCTTTGCATCAGTTTTTGCACAGTGTTAGAAAATAGGCAAAGCTCTTATTCTTCTTCCAAAGCAGTGGCTGGTGTCAGCTTTGTATGATGTACAATTTTTGGAGGTAAAGGAAGAGACAGGACTTATATTTACTAAAAAATGATTTAGTTTATATACTGGTTTAATATGTAAATAGCTTCAACTCAGCCAGTGAAAAATAAGGTATAAAGAAATGTATTTTGAAACTCTGGCCTGCCTGTGTAAATACACCTCAGCATCTCAATAGCTTGTCATCCTTCCACTTACTGTAGTCTTTTAAAAGTTAGGAGTTTGATTAAGTTCACGTGTTAACAAAGCTTTTCAGTAGTCAGCTGATTTTGGAAGAGTGCAGCAAACATACTCAGGCATATGGATCTAAGTAATCTTTCTATCCAGCTTCTAACTCCTAAGCATTTGAACAAACAGTGCTAGTGCTGTGAATTGTTTTCTACAGCCCTGTAAATTTGTCTTGCTAGTATCCTTCTGAGCATTTTAAGATCTCTTACCAATAGCCTGTAACCTTTAATCTACTGTCAACATGACTGAGGCAGCTAAGATATTTTATTTTCACTTACTAACTTGCTGTCCTCACTTAAGTGTGGGGAGACATAACTCCAGCAGATTCTGACCCTTTGCAAGTCTATAAATGAGAAGAGGCTTTGTCTGGTGTACTTGAATGCAACTGTATCCATAAATAGCCTTACTTTGTGACACTTAAAAAATATTTGTTCTTCGGAGGATGCTAAATGTCACATTCTGAAATAGGGAAAATAAACTTAGTTTTTATCTCCTCTTGTTGTCATGTTATTCCTCAGTAATTTTTTGCTTTCTTTGGGGGGGAAAAATCTGATTAAATACTGTATGTCTGTCAATAATAGCTGTGAGTGCTCATAAGCAGTTTTTGTTGCCTCTTCACTAGAAAAGAGCTTTTTTTCAGTCCTGAGCTGAATCTGTGGTGCTCTTTTTGTCTTGGGCAGAGGACAGGGTGGCACACCCATGGCTATGCAGAAAGCACAGCAGGTGTCCCAAGGTCTGGACTTGCTCACTGCAAAAGTGGAGAATGCAGCCCGCAAGCTGGAGGCCATGACAAACTCTAAGCAGGCAATTGCTAAGAAGATTGATGCTGCTCAGGTACCACCAGTGATTTAATAAATACTTCAGAACGTGATGATGTTACTGCTGTTAGAGATGTTATTCTGAACTACTGTGGTTGTTTCCAAAACAAAACTTGACTGGAATAATATAGAAGGGGTACTTGTTTTAACAATGAACAATCTTAAATTCAGTAATTAACAGCGTGCTGTGAGTTTTGCTACAGTTCATGACCTTTTCTGGTAACTTTTTTGGCATTACTAAAAATTAATAAAGTAACGTGATGGAACACCCTAAATTTGCATATGAACTAATCTTATTAAAGAAAAGAGTAGAGGAGTTTCAGGCTGCACAGACTGATGGATAAAACTAGAGCCCTTTCTTTGGGTTCTGTTTTGAGAGTGGAATTTAGGATTTAGAACTTAATATTTGTGACAAAAGTGAAAAAAGGTTAATGAAACTGCATTTTCTTTTAATTGATCCTTTATTTTTGTAACTTAATATCCCTCAATGGTCAGTCTGTTACCTGGTGATGACTATGATGGTGATTAAATGAACATGTTATATATACCTCATCTAAATGTGTATATGTGTATATAATTATCAATATATAAAGATATGTTAATATTACATATTTATCAAATGAAATGCTAGTGGAACACTTTAGGAAGAGCTCTATAAAGTGTGCCCCAGTGGGCTCAGGAGGATCTGTTTTCTTTTTTTTCTGAAAGCCAGATTATCAGTCTCTAAAGGCACAAGTTAAATTTTACTTCTGAAAATATTGTTGAGGGGAAAGAGTGAATGTAAAGTCTTTGGGTAGATCTTGTCTTGTTTGACATCTTTTTCAAAACAGGAAAGCTATCAGACCATAGAGTGACTTCATGGTATCTAGTAAACAGAAATTGCTTTTGAGAAGTATTTTCTCTTAAATAAAATTTGGAAAGCCGAATTGATATTTGGTGGTTTTTTTTAAAGCATCTATAGAAATAATATTATTGTTTGTCTTTACTTGTACACGACTTCTTTGTATTAAGAACTGGCTTGCAGATCCTAATGGGGGCAGTGAAGGAGAAGAACATATCCGGGGAATTATGGCTGAAGCAAGGAAAGTTGCAGAACTGTGTGAGGAGCCTAAAGAAAGAGATGATATCCTTCGTTCCTTGGGGGAAATCTCTGCTTTGACAGCCAAGCTGTCAGATCTGCGACGACAGTATGTATTAGTTTTATCACCATTCATTTCTTTGAATTACTATCATTTTCCGTTCACAATGCTGGGCAAGATCAGAATATTGATGATAAATTGGATTAATGATGATTAAAATAAAAGAAAAAGCCTAGCTTGCACTGGCTTCTTTAAAAGAAAAAAAAGAGTAACTGAAGATGTTACCATTACAATTACCTAGAAATATTTTCTTTCTACTGCCTATGGAATATTTGACAAGCAAACTGAAGCCAAAAGTGAGCTCATTTGTACTGTCAAAACAAAGGGGTAATGGGAAATTTAAGTTTGTTTATACAGGCAGATGTCATCACTGTTTTTTGCAAAGCGGTTTACTAAATGTCAGAGTGGAGTGTCTACCACTTCCATCGGTGTTCTAAGCTGTAACTGCAAACTGTATAAAAGAGGTTGCTTGAGACTGGAAGAGGAGAAATGGTTATTGTATGAACTGTGGTCTTCATCTAAGGCCAGTTGCAATATGGAGATAAATATTTTTCTGCTTCATTAGTTAGATAGTTTAATTGAGTTTTTCTTGAGCTTTAGGTGCTGCAGGTCTTAATGTGCTACCTCTTGTCAAGTTTATGTATAGCCTTCGGCCTGGGGCTGCTTACTTTTCTGCTTGTAATCTGTATGGCTCATAATCTGCTCATAAGACAGCCATGGATGTGGGAAATCAAGTCATACATCAGTTTTAGCAAGGACAGTACTATGCCTTTCCCCACCTTGGTGCTGTGTTGAACATATGTAATACCCAGGTACCACAGCAGGCAATTGCTCCTCAGAGTCTCAACTCAAGTGTCAAATTTAACCTTATTTAAAAAGTTGAAGTAACTTTCATTGTGTCTTCCTGCTGAATTTGAGACTATCTATAAATGATCTTTAAAGGACTATACTTTTTTTGTTTTTAAATGTTTAGTGGGAAAGGTGACTCTCCTGAGGCCCGTGCATTGGCTAAGCAAATAGCTACATCACTTCAGAATTTACAGTCCAAAACAAACAGGGCTGTGGCAAATACTAGGCCAGTTAAAGCAGCTGTCCATTTGGAGGGCAAGATTGAACAAGCTCAAAGGTGGATAGACAATCCTACAGTTGCTGATCGGGGAGTAGGTAAGTGTTTCCATGTGTTCTTCCCCCCCAGTTTCACAATTAATTGTTAGTAATTTTTGTGGTGGAAACAACTGCTCCTGAGATGCTGAGGATGCATTGACTCTTCACTGATGTGGAGACTTGGAGATTTATAGCCAACTCCTGGCTGAGAAATTATAGAATCAAGCTGGCCTGTGATTTTCTTTGTGTTCTGGAGAGAGCAACTTTCCTATTCATTCCTAAAGAATAGGAGAACTTTTGCTGTACAGCGCACAAAGACAGACTGCTCCTTGCTTTTATTATGCAAATATAGTGTCTTGAATTTGAATTTATACCTACTTCAGCAAATTGAGTAATTAAGTCCTTCAGAGAAGAGAAAAACATTCATAAACCTGACCTAAAAATATCACTTCTTATATGGTTTCTGGGTTATCTGAGGAGAATGCTACTAATTAAAGAGAAAGGGGATCTGATAATCCAAGTGTGCTATCAGTGTGGTTCAGGAGTTGCTGTACTGAGAGCTTATTGTAAACCATTTCAGAAATGCCTTGTTTATCTTCTCCTGATGTTATTGCAAGTAGATGCATGAAGCTTGAAAACTGGATTGAGTAGTTTTTTCCACAACAGTCCAGCTGATCCCGATGACTGACTGGAAGAACACGTTATAAGAAGTGGTATAACTGCAAACCTTTAATACCTCTTTCTCACACTTCTCACCATCTGTGCAGATAACTTTTGTTGTGTGAATAACCAATGACAGATCCTTGAACTAAAGATTGAATGATGTTGATAGCTTGGACATCTGTGAAGTCTAAATTTAAAGGAAACATTTTAAACAGAATAGTGAGGTTCCGTGTTTTGCACTTGCTGATGAGCGGATTGCATACAGAATGAGATGAACAAGAAGGTGGTAGATAGGTCTCTTTTGACAGTGGCTGAAAACCTTCCTAATTTTGATCTTTCTCTTGAACATAATAACCTGTCAGGTGGTCGGCTCAAAAAAACCACAAAACCTAAACTTAATTTTTGTTATTTTTAGTTGAAAAGAAACAAAGGTAACTTAAATCCTCTTTGAAGTCTCTAATGGCCTAATAAATCATGAGGCTTGCATACATACTGGGGGCTTGCTGAAGAATTGAAGTTTCTCAACAGTCAGTTTAATCAAATGCTGGAGTAATAAGTGTGACAAAAATGTGTGTAGAGATGCAAGATGTGGCATGTCCTATAACTTTAATATTTGTAGTTCAATAAAGAAAATTTTAGTTGTAACATGAGGTTGTTGTACGCTTTTTTCATTTAAATGTCTTTCACTTGCACTGGCACTTGGCAGGATATATTAAGATATATTAAGAATATAAATCAGATATGTTCTCTTTTCAGTCTGGACAGCACTTCTAGTAGAATTTGGCCTAATATTTTCAGTGCTATAATAATGGTAGAATTCTTCAGTGTTCTCTGCAGTAGTAGGGACTAGGTTACAAATACTCCCGTGGGTTTGCTGGTGACCCAGGGCAGTGCTTCAACAAAAGCTAAACTCTGAAATAAAATAGAGGCATAATGTGTATTTTGTTTTATAAACACGTCAGCTACTTGACTGGTATTGGCTGCTACAAATATTGACTTGCACTCCTATTCTGAATTACCCGAGTTAAATGATGGCTGAAGTAGTAATAATTGGCACATACAAACTAGGCAAGATGTACCGAAATAGTAAACTGGTGTGTGAAGGATACTTGCTTGGCTGCACTTGACCTAGCAAAAGAGTAATTAGAAAACATCTTGGGATATTCCAACAGCACCAAACTTAGCTACGCTGATAAGTTTTCTAAAATGATGGTGGCAGTGCTGAGTGATTCTTGGATAGTTTGGTACCGTGACAACTTCCTAAGTAATTTTGAGCTTGATCACAAAGTTGGATTGCATTAGCTTAAAATTATTCTTCTGTAGATCTTTGAGGGACTTAATATATGATGAGTTCTTTTAAAAGAATACTACTGTTGTGTTATTGAAAGAGCAGAGAATTACATTCCTATGAAAGAGCAGGAAGTGTCTTTAAGTGAATGAAGGGAATCACCTATGCTAAAAATGATATTTTTTTTTTCTATTACAGAAAAACTTTTAGTTCACTGCAGAGCCTTTGTAAGGCGTTCCCTACCCCCTCCATCCCCTCCAATCCCGGATACTTGACACTTCTTATGCATGGTTTCTGGAATTCTAGGAGGGGGCATTCTGCTTTTTTTTCTTTATGGTTTCTACTTGGCTTTTCCTCTTGCTTCTGGTACTCATCTTCTGATGATTTGGGGGTGAATAGCAGTATTTGGAATTTGCAAGTGCTTTCTATTGGAGTTAACAGATCAGTTATGTAGAAATACCTGACAGCTGTCATGGTTAACTTCTGTCAGACCACTGTAGTTAAAAGGGATGCATCTCTAGCCAGAGTTGCTGAATTAAGCAAAAAGGAACTGGAGAGAGTTGAATTCCTCTGTGGGTTTGATCTGCAATTACTCAATAATAAACTGCAGAAGATCTTTTCCACCACCTAGAAAGGTGTTTTAAAAACCCCAAGAATTGTGATGTGTACATGTATGTGTCAGTACTTCATGGTGCACCTGATTTGTGCACTCAGTCTTTTGTTCCACCGCATGCTGATGCAAGATGACTTGTTCCCTGTAGGGCAGGCAGCAATCCGGGGTCTGGTTGCGGAAGGTCGCCGTTTAGCCAACGTCATGATGGGCCCTTACCGGCAAGACCTGCTTGCCAAGTGTGACCGTGTGGACCAGCTGGCTGCTCAGCTCGCTGACCTCGCTGCCAGAGGGGAGGGGGAGTCTCCTCAAGCCAGGGCAATTGCTGCTCAGCTCCAGGACTCACTGAAGGTACAAGTCTGCTCTCATGCAGGCAAGCACACGATACACTGAAGCACTTGCGCTCCTCTGACCAAGCGCTTGTGTGTGTGAGGCATCAATAAAAAGAAAAGTGCTCCAAAAAACCTGTTGAGTTAGCTGAGCTGTTTCAACCAAACTTTCTACAAAGACCTTGTTATCATGCTTAGGGGTTAATTCCAAATGAACGATTTAGTAGGAAAATGGAAGTCTCTTTTAAAAGAAAATAGTGTGCTAGCATTGCAAATTTGAGGGGCAAGATCTCAAATGATGCTATTCATAGCTTCTAATGCTGCTTCCAGGAGTAGTATGTAAGCTTCGTGTATTTCAAATTATGTAAAAGGTAATTAATCATGATTTTAAGGTTATTTTATTTTTATGTCTGGTATTGAAATGGGGTTTTTTTACAAGAGGAGGTTTTATGGAATTTGACTCCCTACAAACTTCATATCCCTGTATCATTTGCCAATAATTTTCCTGTATTTTAAGGATCTTAAAACACGGATGCAAGAGGCCATGACCCAGGAAGTTTCTGATGTCTTCAGTGACACCACAACTCCTATTAAACTGTTAGCGGTCGCAGCCACTGCTCCCTCTGATGCTCCCAACAGGGATGAGGCAAGTATACCCAGGTGGTCTTTTCCTTCCCATGGGAAGCTTCACTTAGTGTTTAATTTTACCTGAATTGGTACTTTTAAAAATAAACCAGTGTTCTGAAGAAAGAATTGGTATTTTTTCCTCAGGTTTCTGTTACATGTTTACTAATTCTGACAGCATAATTATTACTATGCAAATCTCACTCTGGACTCTTGGAGACTGTGAATTGTATATCCCTGGAAACTCTGTTGTCCCTGACTTCAGTAAATGGCAAAGATTTCTCCTTGTAATGTTGGTATCACATTGCCTTCAGCTGGCTGAAAATTCTTGTGCAAAAACTGCTGACACACTAGTTAGTGGATTTTATATCTCAGCATTACATAAGCTGATTACAATAGTCAAATTCATGCCAGGATTTATCAACAGATTCAACTTCTTTTCTTCCTGGATATTGTTTCTGGTACTTCAAAGCTACTGACTGCATGTGAAGTATCTAAAACTCTGTGTGTGGCAGCTCTGTTTGTCTAGTTTGTTTTAAACATGATTAAAATTATTCCCAAGGCCTTGGAGAATTCAGCTTTATGACAGGATGGCTTTTTGTCAAAGTATTCTGTTCCTTGAAAGGACTGTGAAAGGAAGGAATTTTTTTCCAAGGTGAAACTTCAATTTTTAGGGTAAACTCCCTTATTTATCTTTAAAATATAGTTACTTTTGGTTTATGGGTTTGAAGATTAATCTCTAGGAGCTAAAATAGTTTTAACACAGTATTTGTTGCAGCAGTAGTCATCAGGAATGAATGAACTTAATACCTCAAAACTATAAAATATGTATGTATCCTTAGTTGCCCAACTGAGTTAGTAAAGAAGCAAGTCCAGTAATGTAGAGATAAAAAAAAAATCAAACACCTTCAAAGCTTTTGTGTCCTCTTGCATCCTCTCAGGATGAATGAAATGTGGATGTTATGAAGATGTCTCTGACACTTTGAAGAAATTGTGCATTCTGTTAGGAAGGTTTGGGCTTTTTTTTAATGTGTTTTCTCTTCTGACAACTAGGTGTTTGATGAAAGAGCAGCAAACTTTGAAAACCATGCTGCTAAACTGGGAGCTACAGCAGAAAAAGCAGCTGCAGTTGGAACTGCAAATAAAACTACTGTGGAGGGCATTCAGGCAACAGTGAAATCAGCAAGGGAACTTACCCCACAGGTTGGCTTCCTTGGGCTGGAAGGGCTGTTAGAAGGGCTGGGGATGACTTCTGTGGAATTCTCCTTATGCTTCTCCTCTTGATGTTAATACCAGCAAGGAACATAGCGCTGACACTCTTAAAAGGGGAATGGAAAATATTTATATATATGATACCAAGTAGAACAAAATGATGATATTACATGTCTTACTCTTCAACTTCTCGACAAAAGTGTCTATGACTTAGACTTAAAATGATTTTGAGGCTTAGTAAAATATGAAAGTGGAAAAAATTGCTCTAGCACCCACTTCCACCTAAAATTTTGGTAGTGTAATAAATATTGTACTTTAGTGCTTTCAAGAGTTGTTTGTAAGATATATTAGTATGTAATTGAAGTTCCAGAAAAAAGTATTTGTGCCAACAAATTCCAGAAGTATTGTAGATCTTCAAGCAGCTGGATGTTGCACTAGAATTAATGAATTAGTATTTCAAATGAGGAGCTACACATCCAGTCTTGAAAAAACAAATGCATTTTCAAGAATATGTGTGATGTTGATATATACTGATAATTAAAAACGTTTTTTGTTGCCAGGTAGTATCAGCTGCTCGTATCCTCCTGAGAAATCCTGGAAATCAAGCTGCTTATGAACATTTTGAGACCATGAAAAACCAGTGGATTGATAATGTAGAAAAAATGACAGGTAAAGTAGGAATTTTTGTTGAAGATCCTACCTGTGGCTAACTAGCTTCTGTAGATTTTTCTGCATTCTGTTTGGACTGATGAAACATGCATAAGAGTAATGACTGATTAAAAATAAGAGAAGTGGGAACATGGTCTCTGACTTGAGGAATATGTATATGTTACAGCATATGCAAAATAGCTGGCTTCTGATGTGTTAATACTGAGCTGAGGGGAGCAAATAGCCCTTTAGTTCTCTTGTAGGAAAACCAGAATACCATTACTTTTTATTGCAATTGCTCTTCTAGCAGTATATCACTGTGACAACTTGAGGTTTTTTCTGTATAATCTTGGCATGTTGAAATAGGACAGATAAGTGAGGGTAAGAAAACATGTTCAAAATGTTGTTACAGCTTGATGAATGCAGTGAATAAAACAAAGCTACTGATCTATTGAATCTTGCTGAGACACTGAAATGTTTCAGTCCTTCCCAAGTGCACTGATCTACTAAACACCTGACTGTATACTACCTCCTTCTCCATCCCAATGATTAAATTGTGGGTATTGTAAATCTTACTGCTTTGTCACTATGCATCACCCCATGTAAAAGCACAGCAGAGGGATATTTCCTTTTGAATGGGAGAGGTACAAAAAGTACTGAATGTGCTTAAAGAAATTTGGTGGCAGGAAGGAATCTCTGCTGCATATGCTGTATAAACGATTTCTTGACTGAAACAATGTTCCATGGTAGATGAGTAAGAGCTCAGGATGTGATTAGCAACCTTCACCATGGCTGCTGTGACAGGGGTACCACATAACCAGAAGAATAACTGCAGTAGTACATTCAGTCTAATTTCCATGCCCTCTCCTGCTCTTCCCCAGACCCCAGTTTTAAAATACTTACTTTTCTGGTTGTGAACTGTCTATAAAATACCAAATATCCCTTTCCACAGATGAAACTAGAATACTGATACGTTTAACTTATATTTCAGGGTTGGTGGATGAAGCCATTGACACTAAATCTCTGCTGGATGCATCAGAAGAGGCTATTAAGAAAGATCTTGATAAATGTAAAGTTGCAATGGCCAACATGCAGCCTCAGATGCTGGTAGCCGGTGCCACCAGCATTGCAAGACGAGCAAACCGCATCCTGCTGGTGGCAAAGAGGGAGGTGGAAAATTCAGAAGACCCTAAATTTCGGGAGGCTGTTAAAGCAGCCTCTGATGAGCTAAGCAAAACTATATCACCGATGGTAATGGATGCTAAAGCTGTGGCAGGAAACATTTCTGATCCTGGTAAGGATTCAGTCAGCTAATTTAAGATGTACTTTTTACTGACTGAAGATGACGTGAACTAGTGCTCATTTTTTCTTGTACAGCTGTGTATCCTCTTTTATGCAAATACTGTATACACTTAAATCTCACAGAATGATGAAATCAAGGTCACACTGCTAACTGCTAAATCCCGCTCTTTTCAAATACAGTCAAAGGCCTTTGGCATATTCAAGGGAAAAAGAATTCATCATTGTAGTTTGATATGTGATTTCATAATCTTAATTAGAAGTACTTGTTACTAGTTTTAAGTAGTACTACTTTCTATAAGAAAATTTAATATAATTTCTTTGATTCTAAAAGTTGTTCAGGAATTAGTTTGGCTATTGATAGTGACTACTACTCAGCCTGCTTTATTTTATGCATGTTGCATATGACACTAACACTTCAAATGAGCGAGTCCACTGTAAACAATTGGGTAGTTTTTAAAAACACATATAATGTACTCTGCCAAGTACACTTATAGAAGCATTTTTGGAGGGTAGTGTTCTGAATATTACCAAACACTATTAAACTGGTACTGGGTTTTCTGTTCAGGTTTGCAGAAGAGTTTCTTGGATTCTGGATACAGAATTCTGGGAGCTGTGGCCAAAGTCAGAGAAGCCTTCCAGCCTCAGGAACCAGATTTTCCCCCTCCTCCTCCTGACCTTGAGCACCTTCATGTAAGTGCAGCACAGTTTGTAGTAAAATACACGGTTGTCACTGATGTGTGGATTACACACTGAAATTACTAAAGTATATTTTTATTCCTTAGAAATAAAAGGTATTGTCAGGCCAGCCAGGTGTACAAGTAGCCTCAAGTCTAAAAAATAGTAATCCAGCATTCAAAAGAAAAGATTAAAACATGGTATTTTCTTTAACAGGATGCACTTGAAAAACTGGAAAAAGGTTTGAGTCCGTACAATCATGTCTTGCCATGACACCATCCTTTACTCAATTTATGTACTGTTGCCTTGCACTGAATAAGATTTTTGCCTTCCTTAGCTGACTGATGAGCTTGCTCCTCCCAAACCACCACTTCCAGAAGGTGAGGTTCCCCCACCCAGACCGCCACCACCTGAAGAAAAGGATGAAGAGTTCCCAGAGCAGAAAGCAGGAGAAGCAATTAACCAGCCCATGATGATGGCTGCCAGACAGTTGCACGATGAAGCCCGGAAATGGTCTAGCAAGGTAAGAAGTTGTTGTGTTGTGCACTAAAAGGATTATCTTCTAACTTTAGTATCTGTGTGTTTCGTCCAAATTCAGTTGTATCATGACAGGGTCTTCCATAGACCAAATAGTAAAAATACTGCAGTAGGAGGAATTAGAAACCCTTTCAAGTTCAAAGTGAACTAGGGTCAACTGTTCTAATACTTAGAATTGCTAGAATGCTTTATTAACATAGCCCTGGGAACACAAATATGCCTTGTATGCTAAGCTGTTTGTGATCCTTGCTGCTAGTATTGCCTAGAGAGCCACTAATACTTATGCCTGTGTAGGCTGACAAGCTGATTGCTATATATAAGTGACTTTGAAAAGTCTGTATGGATGTTGCAGATGCCAGCTGCAGGAATCATGTACTTGTTTGTCTTAATTCTGGAAGAAGCTGCAAGTTACTTTGCAGTTAATCTGCAATTATGAGGGGAAAAGTGACCATATGTAAGCGGCCTGGTCTCATTCTTTGTTTGTAATAGGTCACATTTGCTATCAAGGCTGAAATCCCTAATTTCCTTACCATTTCAGTGCTAGGACAAAGTAGTGTGAATTCATCAGTCTTGCAAATACTAATATAATTTTTTTTTTGCCTTTCTCTCTTTCTGCCCTCTGGCACCCCCTTCCCCAAAGAGCTACATTTTTCCTCTGGCAGAAGCTGAGTAAGAACTTTTGAGATTTAGGCTTCTGCAAATGTAAATTAAGGAGTCAGAACTCAGCTTTTAAAATTTCCCCTTTTTTTCTCCACCAAATTAGAAGGTGAGTGAGGAGACAAACTTGAATAGTTTACAAAATCAACTTCAGTGCTTTGGCCTTAAGGAACATCTGTTTTGAAAGTACAGATAAAATACAAAAGAAGTTCTGCAAATCTGTTTGGATGTCTCTTCCCCAAAATGAAAAGCTCTATTTGCCCCATACTTCTGGATATAGAAAACACATTTTTATATTACTGAAGGGACAGTCCTGGAATGTATTGTTCATCTCAGAAGGTAGTTCTGAGGCTAAAAGCCTTAATTTCAGCTTCCTAAAAGTGTTTTTATGTTGGAATCCCAGAATGGGTAACTTAACAATACAGAGTAGGTCAAAAAATCCTTTTACCATATATATGCTAAATTACCTATATATATAAAATATGCATTCTAAATTAAGTAGTGCAACTGTTTAAATATTTATCAAAGCCAATCAGCAGAACTTAAAATTCCTTGCAGATTACGAAAGAGATCTAAGGTCAGTGACTTTAGATTATAAAACACTATTTTCATTGCTATTTCTCTAATTTGAGACCAACAAACCAGCAAGTTAGAACAGCAATTGTCCTTCTAATTCTTTTTTTAGCAGTACCATTTTAGCAATAAAAGTTCAGTTATTCTGGCAGTGTTTTGGGGGATAAGTTTTAAAAACACTTCTGTAGTCTCTGAAGTCACTTTATTGGGTGGAAGAGGGCTTGATGGTCAGTGCTGATGAGGAATGTGGGTTAAACCTGGAAAGACAGAAATATAAGGTCTTCTTCATACTAAATCACAACAGACTGTGTGTCAAATGTCTTTTGCTCTTTTGCTGAATTACTTTAGTCTACTAAGGTAAGGTAGTTCACCTGTAGTAAAGTGTGTGGGGGTGAACAAGTACTTAGTCTTTAAAAAATGTTGATAACATTCTTCACTCTTGTAAGAATTAAAATCTATTTCTTTTTTCTCCTTCTTTACAAAAACTCCTCTTCACTAAGTGGCTTTCTGGGCTTTCATGTACTCCATTTCTATCATGGAGCACAAACCAAACAATGTCTTGCTTTAGTTTTCCCTGGCTTTTCCCCTAGTTTGGATAAATCATAGAATGTGGGATATTTGGAAACTTCATTAATTAAGACTTAAATATAAACTGCCTTTGAAGGCGAGTTGATTTGGCCTTATGTAAGAGTTACCACTTCCAAAACTCCTGTGTGTTTTTGTTGGTGTAGATTGGGTTTTTTTCAATAAAAGGCAGTATCTTAAGCAAAACACAGTTGAAAATGCTAAGGTTTTGGTAAGGGTACCTTGACTTTTATCACACTTGTCTTTAGTTGAAGAAATACGTTTTGTAGACTTGTAGGTTATTTTTGTATTTAAATGTTATTAATTCCTGTATTGTTATACCACTCACCTCCTTCCTTGATCTACCCTAATACAATATATTTGCTTGAATCCTCTTTCTTTTTTTTTGAAGGTAATGGATACAACATATTGTGGCAAAACAGTATCATATGTTTCATAATCCTCTTATTCTACTATTTCTGTTTCAGTCTTTTTTAAGAACTGTAATATTCATGGCATTCATAACATCCAGTGTCACCTCCTCTTTTCATAACCCAGTTTTGCTCTTTTACATGTTCTCTGTGATATGTCAGTGTTCACTTCTACAGTGTTTCCCATCCCATCTTTTTTTTTACTCTACAACAAGCAGTGTTAGTGGTTTTTCTGTGCTCTTGCTGCTGTCTCCTCTTATCACATATATGAACAGGCTTCCAGACAAAGCTTTCTGTGTGCACAAAACCCACAGTCATCAGCTGCTGTGCCTGCTTCTGTGCAGTCAGAACAGCTTTCATTGAAAGAGAAAATCCATTCATTTCACCATTGTCTTGCCAGAAAAATGTTGTTCTGTGAGTCAGCCTCTGTCTGTAGAAGCTGTTTGCTCAGATGAAAAATGCTCCTGCATATTTGAATTGTAAGTTCTTAATATTTTTGGTAACTTTGATTCACAGGTGAAATGTTTGTTTCTTTCTGCTAATCTTCTATTCCTTCCCCTTCTCCCCCTGACCTGATCCTAGAGCTGCCTTGTCAGATCCTGAGAGGCCAAGAGGATGTTTTGGTCACTAAAACTGCTCAGTTTGTGCTCTTCTACCAAATTCTGCTTCTTGTACTAACTGTCCCCTGTTTCTCCACCCTTGCTGCCACCTGCAAAGCCTGATGTGACTGTGATTAATGAAGCGGCTGAGGCTGGTGTAGATGTAGATGAGGAGGATGATGCAGATGTTGAATTCACTCTCCCCTATGACACTGAAGATGATTACGAGCCTGAGCTGCTGTTAATGCCAACCAATCAGCCCGTTAACCAGCCCATTCTGGCTGCTGCTCAGTCTCTGCATCGAGAAGCAACCAAGTGGTCTAGTAAGGTACTCCTGAGTCCCCGGGGACTGATCCGCGTGCATCCAGCCATTTGGAACGTGACACATGTGCATCACTCTTGATCCCTGCCGGGTCCGCCGTTCTGAATGAATAAGTGTGTCTGCACTTCTTTTTAAGGACTGAGAGTGGCTTCACGAATTTGCTAGATCTGTTTGTCAGTGCCGGATTGAAGCTTGATTTGGGTCACTTATTAATACTCAAAGGCTTCCTCTCCCTTTGCATCTGCCTGGTCTTCTTTGTTATGGCAGTTTTCAAATTGTAATAGGGGTTGTCTTTCCTCCTCCCTTCCTGTTCTTTTTTCCATTCATTTGGGCTACCTGGCAAGCCATGGTTAATGGTTTCTTAATGACTTCCGGATAGAGCAGAGTATACAGCATTCAAGAAGTCCTTTAAGGTGTCTGCTGTGCTTTGCCTCCACTGATGCCATCAATTACAATACTTTCCAACAAGGAATGGCTTTGTATGGCAGTGTTCATGGAAGAGGACTGACTGCTGGCTTGCACTGGGCTGTATTGCAAATGCTGGTCTTGAGAGAATTCTCTAATGAAGAAGCTGCACTGAATGCTGTTAGCTCCTGATTTGAGATCGTGTCTATATGAAACCAGTGGAAATCTAACATGAGGTTCAGACATTCACAAGTAGCCTGTCTCTTCTGTCTAAGCACAAATGTTTGCAAGACTGGGCACCTTTCATAGCATGCTGCAAAAAATAAGGTTGGTGTCCCATAACTAACAAAAGTTAGGGGTGTATGTATATGTACATGTGTGTATTTACATAGATAGATATACTGAACTATTTTAATAAAAAGGGCTTTAAAAATGTTCTTGTCCTTTTCAGATTCTGATGCTTGGATAACTTGTTAGAGGGCTTCGTAAATGACACTGGTCCTAATTTCTTGATCCTTCTACGTGAAAACATGGAAAAGTTTTGTGTTATGTCATTTGCATCCTAACTGGTTATACTAGCAAACTGTTTAGCTAATAGGTCACGGTCATGAATAGTTCAGCTTTTTGTGTCACCTATATTTGCAAAATGTCTGGGATATCTTCTTAAATTTGCTCATAGTGAGTCATGGAAGTGTGTGCACAGGGTTGAGAACACATTTGCTAAGTTGGGTTCTCGTTGTGTACTCTTTGCTGTGAACTTTGGCCATTAATTATGGAATAACACCAAGGAAAGAGTGTGCTAATACATAAACTCACTCTGGTAATATTTCATCCATGCAACAGGAATGCTTCAAGGCACCAGATAGTTCACGTTTGACTAACAAATTTATACAAAGGGGAATAATATAAATACACTAATTAAACTAACAGACTACTAACAATTGATCAGCTAGGTCTGCTTTCCCTTGCACTAGGTTTCTCTCTGGAACAGTGTTTAAGAAATGGTTTTGCCTTGGTCACAATTCGTATTTCAAATATTTCTCATGTATTTCTGTGACTGTAATTTTTGATGTACAAGAAATTGGGATTTTAATGTAAGAAATATCACTAGATTATCTTTTCAACTACCATGTTCTTCTCTCCTGGAAGCTTTATTTTAAAGGGAGAGATTTTATCAAAAAGGAAGACTTATTTTCAAGGAATAACTTTTAAAAAAAGTAATAGTTGCATCTCACTTCCACATTACCAGTGACAAAAGTTTTGTATGTCAGATTCTCTTCCCTTTATCTTTTAGCATTACAGCAGCATAGCTTATGCTTTAACAACTTCAGTTTCATATGCCACTGAAAATTTTATGCTCAACTGTTACGACTACAACTATTTAACTTAATCAGTGCTATGTGGTTTATCAGGCTCCTTAGCACATTTTTTAACTTTAAAAAGTGGGTTTCTGGGGAAATCTGAAATTTTGGATGCTAATAACGTGCTTTATCTTAAAATCTAGTCAGCAGAGGAGTAACTCTCATTCCATGGACAAACTAACACTTTACAACTTCTTTTTCAGTTTTGAAAAGAACTTTTCCCCTCAGTGTTAGGAACAAAACTGCCAGAAACTGTGTAATTAGTGCAGATCTTCCCTGTTCCTTGAAGAAACCTCTTCTGTGTTCACATATGGTTCTTCCGTCCTTAACTTCTTCCAAGTGTTGCCACCCAAATGCCGGCTGCCGTTGGGCGCTGGCTCCTGGCAGCCCCCGCGGTGCCCTGACGCTGCCCTGTTGTTGTGTGCAGGGCAACGACATCATCGCGGCGGCGAAGCGGATGGCGCTGCTCATGGCCGAGATGTCGCGCCTGGTCAGAGGAGGCAGCGGGAACAAGCGGGCCCTCATCCAGTGTGCCAAGGATATTGCCAAGGCTTCGGACGAGGTCACGCGATTAGCCAAGGAGGTGGCGAAGCAGTGCACGGACAAGCGCATTAGAACAAACCTCCTGCAGGTAACGAGTTCGCCTGTAAATGCCTCACGCGGTTCTCTCGTTGTTCCTCTCGTAGTGTGGGTGAGCACAGGAGTCGGCCAGTAAATCCTGTATCCTGTTGGCTTATAAAGTTCTGTCAAGTTCTGGGTCTACTTTTAGATCCCCTAGGAATATGTGTTCTGTAAAGCTTGGATTTGATTGCACGTGAGTGAAAGATGCTCGTGGCCAAAGAGCATCTATTTTTCAAATACTAGTAATACGAAATAATACTGAATATTTTGTATATTTCTGAATAGCACTGAAAAGTATAAATACTGGTCTGTCCTAAGTCTGCATTGTTTTGTATTTCATCTACTCATTCCTTTGTATCAAAGAATAGTAGCAGAAATATAACACTCCTCTAGTTTTTTCAGTCTCAGCCAAATATATATGCATCATGCCATTCCTAACCAAGCATATCTGAGTAATATCTGGAAGAAAGGAAAAATGTTGGCTCCACCCCAAAAATTCCCAGAGCAAGTAAAATAAGATTCAAGTATCCTACCAATGTTCATCAGAAAGTCTTGGAAGGTTATAGGATCCCCTCTATCTTATTCCTTTTCTAATAGTAAAAGAAAATAAAAAAGTTTATCTGAAAAAACCCCAGTAGATAATGTATGGGTTCAGTTCACAATGTGAAGTGGTTTTTATGCCCATTCCTTAGGTCTGTGAGCGAATCCCAACCATCAGTACACAGCTGAAAATTCTCTCCACTGTCAAAGCTACCATGCTGGGCAGAACTAATATCAGCGATGAAGAGTCGGAACAGGTAAGAGGTGTAAAACCTGATGGGTAGCGTGGAATTGTTCATCAGTGTTCTGGAGAAAAATAAACAACATGTTCTGTCAGATGTGTTCTGGGAACTCAGTGTTTGGAAGCTTACCTTAGCTGTTCAGTGAAGATAATTTTAGAACAGCAGTTTGGTTTCTGGCTCAAAAGCTACAGTTTAATAGAGGAACAAGGCAAAAAGCTACTCGGGTTCCGATGTTGCTGTGAACAACCTGGTAATTTCCCTGATTTGCCAGTGAAAAGCTGAGCGGCAGGCTGGACCTGGGAGGGGCAGGGGCGCCCTCGGGTGGATTCCGCGGGAAACGTTTATTTTCCAACATCGTCTCTACTCCCTGCAGCTCAGTTACCTTCCAAATGCATCTTTGCAGGTGAAATCCTGCAGTTTTGGCTTCTGCTAAAGGTTTTTCTACTTAGCGACGCTAAACATTTTTTAATTCAGATTTTGCACAAATATACAGCAAAGAACAGGAAAGCCTTGTTTTGAGTGGGGATAACACTTGTTGGTTTCTGTAGACTAGTTGCTTCACTTACTGTTTCATAGTTTAGGTCAGCAATTACCTGAATTAAGATGTTTGTACTAAGAGTCTTTGTGCACAAAGAGTTTCCATACTACTGTCCTAATCGTGGTATTTACTGACATATTGGAAATTCTTCTTTTTCTTGACAGGCAACTGAGATGTTGGTTCATAATGCCCAGAATCTCATGCAGTCTGTGAAGGAAACTGTGAGAGAAGCTGAAGCAGCATCCATTAAGATAAGAACAGATGCTGGGTTCACTCTTCGCTGGGTCAGAAAAACCCCATGGTATCAGTAAACACTTGCCACATAAGTATTGTTTTCTGTAACATAAAATGCCTTTTTTTGGAAACAGAAGAGATATATGAACAGCAAAAGGTGCTGTATACATGAGCTTAAGATTAGCTTATGCTAATGCCCCATTCTAAGGGTATGAATTATAAGATAATGCATTTCAAATGTCTTTGGAACACATTTGATATCAAACACCTCAAATTTGCTGTCAACAGTAGACAGTTCTTATCATTTAATTTTTTTTGGTTTGCTTTTCAAGATTCTCTTAGTGAATTCTGTATTCCCAGAAGCACATTTCAGTTATGCACTATATATTCCAGTAGTTCCCATGTGATGATATAAAACATGGACCTCACTTGAAGCTTGCCTTGAGAGTTTAGGACACTGTTGGTTACTTGGCAGTTTTTTTTGGGACAAATCTTTAATATAGAAACATTCAACTTTCCAACAGGATTTTAGCTGGCTGTTCTAAAACCATGCAGAAATGATGGTGTGGGGCTTTTAATTAAAAGAGGGGAGGTGGGGCAGCAGAACAGTTGTAAACTGAGGATTAAAATTCCATGTCTGAACTGATATTGGGGTTTCTTTTGCTTTTGATTTTTGCTTGGCAACAGTACTTTAACAAAAACTGGAGCTGTCTCTGTCACTCTGTAGGTAGGCATTCCAGAACTCTCGTACTGTACTGAAATGTTTTGCAGAGGATGTTAGTGGCACACTGTTGACACCTTAGGCCTTATGGCTGGAGACCTTAAATCATGGGACTCTTTCCTTGCTCAATTCAGCAATGTATTGAGCTGAAACATCCTGGTTCTCTTAAGCTGACTGCATGTCGAGGACCAGAAAATGCCACATGCTGGCTCTTTCTTTTTGAAAACCAAATGAGCACATGCAATTATTCTTATTTCCCTCTTCTCTCCATCTGATGTTATTCCAGCTGCTCAAGGTGGAAATTAAAAGATAAAGATACTCGATTAAACAAGACCTGTAGCCTCACTGCCCTTGTTTTCAGCAATGCATAAGCTTTTTGAATCCTGAGCTCTGCAGGGTCCATGAAACTCTGTTTAGGTAGTCTGATGGTCCCAGCAAATGCTGGTTCCTAATGCTACACATACCTCATTATTTTTACTGCTTTTGGAGTTTGGAGGCTGAAAATCTTTTTTCAAGTTCTAGTAATAGTGAATTGAACAAAGTGCTACTGCATCTTTTAAAAAAAATCCCAAACGAAATGACAAGAATAAAACCCCCAAGTTCCCCCTCACTAAAATAGACCTGTGATGCTTTTATCCTTCCATAATTTAACATGCCTTCATATATATATATATGTGCATACACATTCATTTAATTGCCTTGTCTCTTTTGGCATTTGACAGAAAGGAAAACTTGTTTGAGTTTTTACACTTGCAAGGAATACTTGCAGACTTCTGCCCAAATCACCACTGACATCATAATACCCTTTTAATTTGCTGCAAATTGTTGCATGATCAAACCACCTTGAATAGAAGTGTCCTTGTGCAAAAACTGCTCAGTCTTAACAGTTCAAAGGAAGAGACACAGCACAGTCAACTGTCCTTTACCTCTCTGCAACAGTTATTCTACACTTGGATTTTCTCCCCTCCACCCCCTTTCATTGCACTGTTATCTAAAAAGGGAAGTTAAACTGTTGATAGTACATCTGCCTCAAAGTGACCTCAGCAAGAGAAGGCACATGTTCGTCTTTAATTTGCTCCTTGTGTCTGGGTATTATGAAATATGTGGTACTTAGGATCTTTCCTTAGTATTCTCTTCCTGCAGTTACCTGCAATGGGAAGAGGAGGGAAGGGGTGCCAGAGCCTTAACCTGGATGCATTTGGTTGGTTTATACCAGATCTTTAACGTAATTTTAATGTAGTAATTTCTATTTAATAGTAAATAACACTGAGTAAGTAGGGATTATTTTAAAGGGATTTTCTAAATAGTCTTCCTGTATTGCTTCTCAATGCTTCTCACATCCCCCTGTCCCAATTCAGGCTTCTCTGTGAGATTTTTTTATTTTAGCATCACTGTTTAGTTGCTTGACTGATATTAATGCAATATTACTAATGCCTTTAATACATAATTGTTTATGCCAAAGATCACTTTTTGTTTATTGATGAATGTTTGCAGGAGAGTTATGAATCATGGTTGCCTTTGATATTCTTCTAGAATGTTTGCTCTGAGTTCTCAAACTGTTTTGTAGAAGCTGAGATACTTGTCCACCTTATGCAATTACTGCATTTTTGAAAACTATTGGTCTGCAGACCCAAAGTGCAGCAAAAATTTGAACAAGACCATGAATGTCACTTGGAAATGTTTTACCACTATAAAACTTTGTTTATAAACCAAAATGTATTGTATAGTCTAATGTTTTCAACCTTTCTTTGGTTCTGTTAAAACAATAAAAATGCCTTTGTACAAATGTCAGCTTGCGGGTGTTAATGATAATGGAGCAGTGGATAATGCTGTAACAAGAGCAGCAAAAAACTAAAGCAGCAGAAATACTAAAGCAAAAGAACATTTGTTTCTCCATGTTCTGAACAGAAAAAAAAGTGCAAAGTTTCTCAAGCAGGAGAAGATTAAATGAAGTTTTTTCTGTCCTTTGTTCCTGTCAAACTAGTAATTAAAGACTTTACTGGAAGCTGTGTTCAGTGGGAGAAAACAGGAGTTTTTCCAAGGCCTGACAGTCATCTGTTCTATTAGACCCAAACAAGGTTCTGAAACCTTGAAACGGGGTTTGCCTGATCCTGTCAGTAAGGGAAGAACTGCTGTTCTGCTCAGCATCTTGTTAATCTGGATTTTACTTCTTAAACTGAATGCAAGGGTGATTAGCATGGAACCACTGTCCTATTTCCTTCAGTCCTTCACCATAGGAACTTCTCAAACACTTTCTCTTGCTAAAAATTTCTACCAGCACACATAATGTTCTGACTTTGTGGAACCAATGTTTATTGGTGCCGTAGGACCAAATGTACCCCCATAGTGCCAGGAGGCACCTGGGATTTACTGATAATAGGTAAAATTCAGAGTTTTATACTGTTCACACAGTTCTCTCCATATCTGAGAGAAGATGAGAACCCGACAGCCAGCCACCTTTGTCAGCATTCCCAGTGCTGGACATCTAGAGAAGGGGAGATCAAAACTTGGCAGTATAATTCCTGACTAATGACATCCTCTGATTCCCCAAGCTGTACTCTTGATACAGGTGCTGGTGCAGTTTTTCTTTCTAACAGGAGAACAGGTAAACAGTTTCTCTTGTGCAGAGTCTGCAGCTGAGCTTCCTGTGTTTGGAGAAAGGGGCAGGAAGTAGCACACCTTCAGCAAAAGGAATCAGCCTCACACAACAGACACTAGTTCTCTGACAAAATACAGCTCTGTGCTCAGGCTGCTTTCCTACCAGGCGAGTACAATTCCTGTTGACACCGAGTTCTGGAGGTGAGCTGGGAAGTATGGATCAGAGCCTTCCCACAGACAGCAGCTCTTGTGTGTGCTTCCCTGGTGCCCGAGTTACAGTGGCTGGCAAGGCTTGTTCTGTAACGTGCTGGAGGGCAGAGCTCGTGTCCAGGCTCACCAGTCCTGATACCACCTTATGTTCTGTACCAGCAAGGGAGTCAGTTCCCAAAGGAGATGGTGCAAGTGTTTCCAGGCTGCTAATGCAGAGGAGCAGCTCCAGGTACTCAAAGTTCAGCTTGAGACATTACCAGTTACCTCTCAAGACAAGATTTCTTGTATAGTTACAGTAACTGAAGGATATAATTTGCTGAAACACAGAGCAGAACTGTAGGATGAGTAATGAATTCATGAATGTTTCTCCAGCTGAAAAAAGGCAGACTAGAAGGTTGGTAGCTTTTAATAACCAGTGTTGTGTCTACAAAAATGCAAGGCTTTCTTATTGTAAGTGCTGGTTCTTCATAGTGCTGTTTTATCTACTGTAATTTCAGAAATTCAGAATGGTTGTTTATGGCCAAGTTTACTCTAATGATATGATGCTAATTTCTTACTGACTTGCTGCCAGTGTTCAGATGGGTTTCCCCTCCGTTTCCCAGGCTGATCATTTTTTGTCCCAGTGTTTGAAATTTTGACTACTGAATTACTTTAGTTCCTGCTCTTCATCTGAAGCAAAGTTAGCACCTATTCATCAATTTCTGAGCCAAACAGGTCAGGGAAACAAAGGCTCTCCAGTATCCCATCCTTCTTTAATTCTGAATTCAGCCCCCTGTGTACTGACCAAATGCATGGGTTGGAACCTGATGGGTACTGTGGAGCTTGTTTTGGTTTAAAGTGATAACAAGCTTTTGTTGGGGTGTAATGAGAAGTTCAGTCAGCTTTGCATCCTCACTGTTGAGTCTTTGAAGTGTCATAAACAAATAGCTGTCCTCCATTTAGAAATAAAAAATACAAAAGGGACCTTACCTGCTATGCTTCTAAACAGCCTTTTATAAACTCTAAGTAGCTGCACAGTGATCAAGTTCAGTAAAGATGCAGCAAATAGTCATTTTTAATTGTGTATCAGATGCCTCCTGCCTAAGAGCATTGTGAACCATTTACCTCAGCATGAATATTTCACAAGATGAGACATATTTGCAGTAGAGTTCCCTTTATTTCATAACATTAAAGCACACAACCATTAAATACACTTGACACTTCTATTGTGCTGTCTAAAAAGCTACGCTCCAAGGTACACACCACACAGATCTGGTGGCATCCACTTCAAACAAGTGGAACATCTAAGTCAAAGCAAAGGCTTCACATAAAAAATAGATCTTACTCTCTGCAACTGTATTCTTAAAAAAAATCATGGAGATGATGAGATTGAATGGAAAGAAAGTGGATTACCGAAGCAACAATCACCTCCCAGATTTAATGCAGGATGTTATTTTTATCAGCTCATCTGCAGATGGCAGAAATGAAAGCTGATTAAGGCAAATGCTTCTTAAGAAAGGCAATTTCTTGTAAACAACACAGAAATTATTTTTTACCTCATCAGAAGCTTTCTCAGGAGTGACATTTGCTATGTCCCAGGCCCCTGGGGTCCCCTGCCCCTCTCACTGCTGCTCTCTATTTCTGAAATGATTACAGGCTCCTTTGTGGAATGCCAGCTTGCAGCTGGCTGTGAGAGTAACTGAGCTTTGTTTGCAGGTGGCTGCAGCAGCAAAACATGCCACCAGACTTTTCCAGTGGCCTGTCTGGCCTTCATAATGTGCTTGACCTCTGGGCTTTGGTATCTGACTGGCAGTGTAGGGTTTGTGACATTTTGTGGGTTGCCTATATCAAACTATTCACCAGCACAACAAATCAGTAAAAAAAGAGTGGAAGTGTATTAGAAAAAAAGTACCTTATTTTAAAGCCATATTAAGAAAACCTAAGCTATGCTTTCATTTTAAGAGCTGCTGTGCACAAATGCTTTGATCCCAAACTAATCAGTGTCTATTAATTAATTGGCACCTAATTAATAGCAACATAAGTCACTAAGCAGTCAAGTTTTTTTAAGGGGAATTTCCTCTTAGATCATCTTCTCATGTCCTGACTTGGAATTTTCCTGCTTTTGTAATATATTTGACACCTTTAAAAGGCTTGTATTTTTCTCCATACATGTCTAGGCGATTCACTTTCAGTCCTGGAAAAAAGCCAAAGAAAGTACAAAGTTAAAAGCAGAATGCTTGGAATAATGTCAGTCTGTTTAAAAGTCCAGCTTTCTTGAAGCACGCTAGGATGGGTTAGGAAGCTAATTTTCCTTTCTTTCACAAGTTCATCTGGTTTGAAATAGCAGATGAGACCGTTCTTGTCACCTAATCACAGCTGTTTTGGCAGGGCAACAACTTTCTTCTCTTCTCCTCCATGAGCCAACATCCTCCTTCCAGGAGATGAACGACTGAACTGAGTCTATCCTCCTCCTTGTACACTGCACTCATTTCCAGTCATGAACATGAAGCAAAGGACAAGTTTCAGAATTCTGTTCACTCCAATTTGTAATTAAAAGAACAGCAATCCCCCTGCTGTTAACTGAGGAAGGCCAGTAGCTATTAACTACCTACCGCTTCAGGCTGTTCCTGCTTTCTCACAGGTCTGGTGTCCAGCCACTGGATCAGCTGTATTTTTCTAGACTAAAACTAGTTTAAGAGGAAACTGTAGGATTCTCTTCTTACACGAGAACTAACTGTTATTTACTCAAAGTAGTCTAGGAAGCAAAAGGACCATGGCCTGGTACCTATCCTTCAGTCATCCTCCTCCTCTCCAAATGTGTCTCCACACTGTGAGAGTCTTGCTCCTGCAAAGCTTGCTTGCAGAACCATTTTACTCGTGGACAACTCACATGATGTAAGTGTTTGCAGACTGAGGCCTTGTCTGCTTTACATTTAGTTTTGCATTTACCTTATACGCTTCATTCTGATTTTACTTGCCGATTGTTTTAAAGATGAAAAACTAACCAGCTCCAGAAGGAAAGAATAAGAAGGGCATTCTTCAAAATTAATGGAGTTTTATGACCATTAGAAATGGCTTTAGTGTGGTGCAAGACTAAAATGAGCCAAGGGCAGCATGCTGAAGCATCATCCATTGATCTTCAGTAAAAGGACACATTGACATGTTTAATGCACCAATCAACAAAGAAAAAGCCATTCTTCTGTACACTTCTCAAGCCTTCCTTGAGCAAAACAGCTGGGAATTCACAATTCCCAGCAAGGGAGTCATCCAGCAAGGGTAACTGTCAAGTTTGGGTAAATCAGACTTTATAATTTTGGACCAAGCAGACTTCAGATCAACATCTCCAAATAAAAGACTGACAGTTTCCACTTCATTTCCTACTACTACCTGTTCTGTCAGCACCAATTTCACGTAACACCCACCCACTCACCTGAAATTGCAAGCTGTTGTATCTTAAACTGGATGTTTAAACTTGGGTTCTCCTCTGGCTTGGGTGCTCCAGACTGCAGGTTCACTATGCCTTTCAGGTTTGGTAGCTTCTGAGGGGTAATTTTGCCCACGTCCCACGTTAACACCTTGTCAGGAAGCAAAGAACAGTAGCTTTCTAGGAAACAACCTCTGAGGTTAAATTCATATCCAGCTTTTCATTTGCAGGCTGGGTACAAAAAGTAACCTGGGAGCCCTGAGAATTATTCTGCTGGCTGTGAGATGGTGTGGTTGGGGCTCCCAAAGGTATGGGGTCTTTTTTTTCCCAGGTTTTTTTTTGCCCTGTTCCTTAGTGGGTCTGTGCACTGAGTGCATCGTGTTCCCTGAGCAATGATGATTGATCCTGATGTCAGTCTGGATCAGCTGGATCCACGAAGCAAAGACAGTAACCAGCAAAAAGTCACAGGAACTCAAACAAGAGAATGAAGAGAGTGGGAGCAAGGTGCTTGGCCAAATGAGATGTCTAAGCTGAGTAACTTTCCTAAGGATCACTTGTTCCCCATTGATTCTTAC